TTCTTTACTTATTAATTTTTCAGAGCAGAAAAGTATAATCCTCCGGAAGGTACCACTTCTGTTCTCCACAAAAGTGTTCATCATGTTGAGTTCGATGTGGTCACAACACGTGTTGTTCGAGATATACCTGCTCATAGTGTTGAGACAATGGATCTTTCTTAAATGTATTTTAAATTTCCTCAAATGAATTGTGATTCCTACGTTGTTTGCTTTATCGGTTGTTCGAATAAATTCACCGTAAAGACTTTCCTTTTTATTGTCGAAATTTTTTAACACAGTACACTATCCTTATTCTGTTTATTTTGAATTACTAATATGCAATCAACACCACTCAAATTCATTTTATAGTAAAGTCATGGAATAAAAGTACAAATATGTAACAATGGTCTAGTATTTATTAAGTAAACGTCAATAATTCAACTAGTTCTAGTACTCCTTATAGATTAGTTATCATTAATTTTACAGCTTATAGCGGTTTAGTTATCTGGCCAGTTTACTGACTCGCCTTTCATTGATTCAAAATATCGGTAATTCAGGACATAGTAACGGTTGTTTATTATTATTAGTAGTAGTAGTATTATTGTCAACTAGTTTTGATACGTTATTGTTCGTTTTCCACCATCAGATACTCATTAACATGGAACTCGACACCTATTGGGTTATATAAGCCATGAAATGTTGATTTCTTCAACTTTAAGCAGCTTGACTTAAGGTTCATTACGGCCGTATGTTGAGGTTAATTTGTTACATGCACTATATATATATCCTAACTTGTCTCTCCACTTATCTAAGGTTACTGTTGTTGCTGACTTTATGTGCTTGTACATTAATGTAAGGAAACTTGAAATTAATATACCAATGCACCAAAGAGAACAATCCAATACTTATTTGGAAGAATACATTTAATCACAAAGAATGTGGGTTATCTCCTACACACGTATCGGCTCAAGTTACTCGCTTGGCATCTATTTCCATAAAGATAATTTTTATAATGTTAGTTAAAACTAGGAAAATAACGTAAAATCCTTAAAATAATGGAAATACTCATGGTTTTAATGTAGAAATAACGAGTACATGTGACAGAGTGACCAGTCTTAATGACTGTCAGTTATAGATTAAAATCATTGCGTAGACAAAACATAATAAGTTAAAATCCTCCGACGCAGCTTAGACCAATGATCGTTGACTCCATACATAAATCTAACTTTTCCATACATTCTTGAGTTGATCAGCATGACGCATTACTACTATCAATAGGTAGGCTACACATAGAAAGTTTCAAACATCTAAATTGGTGGAGGTATACAATTGCATTAACCGATTTTTTTTCTACCTGAAATACATTCAGCCAGTTTTAAATAACTAAGAATAATGAAATTAGTGACATTTTAGTTATTAAAGTCTGAAAGAAGGCAGACATTTGATTTAATGATATGTTTTATAAATCAATTAATATTAAAACTAATAGAGCAGGTCGAGAATATGGGTGTTCATATCATCAAAATCTCACCGATAAGCAAGTACTTCTAGCTTTCAGCATAATAAAACACAACTTCACCTGATATGTCAACAGAAAAAACCCACTTATAAGGGAAATCTCCTTAATCTGTCATAAATGTGTTGATAAAACTGTTTAATGGCTTATGTAATAAGATGTTAAGAATTAATGGTTTAGTCTCTCAACTCCAAAACTATGGGTTGCACTACTAAACCTTCTTCTACCTCTATTGTGGTAGGATAACAGTATTTTGAGCGTTCACACGATCCGTATGGTTCGGAGTTCATTGCACACACTGGTGTTTGGTTAGTCATATTTGTGGAAGGTACTAGTTAATAACTGACAGTCGTTTTCGATTATTTCATCTGGTTTAATAAAGGACGTGGATTCGTCTTCATCGATTTGAGTTCATTGCACAAACGGTGATCAATTATTTATTTTTAAGTTTTTTCACACAAATCAAGTGACTTGTGTAGCGTATATGTATTTAGTGCCCCTTTGTACCAATATTTATGTAGAGGTTTGTAGATCAATCATAAGAATCTAGACCATACTAGAAAACACAGTTTGTATGTAAATTTAATACAAAATAAAAGAATTATCCCTAGGTAGTGAGATCTGGCCGTATCATTGTCTGTACTTTTTTATGTAATTCTCACTTGGCTGATTGCTATTTCATAGAATTAAGAATGATGTTTCTATCCACTTGTGATTTTCATTCACCAAATTATTAAAACTTCTGTGAACTCTTGAAATCGCTCATAATTCATTACACAAACTAATTTGTCAGTCTTGGAGTTCCAAGTAAATACTGTCCCACTTCCATTATGTTTTCTATATTTATCTTACACATGCATATATGGTGTTGATAATTATTGTTATTTCAACTTTCTTCATCCACCAATATCTGTAGTTTAATATTATGTTATACTTCAATACGAAAACAGTTGTAAGCGCGAAAGATATGTTCATTTTATTCTGCATCAAGTGATGAGAAATCCCAAAGACTCACTTCTGTTTGGGGCTTGTGATGTCTAGAAATGTAATGAGAGCTTCATAATTAAACTATCCCGCCCAGAGATTTGATTTCACCGGAATCGAAATATTGTTAGACCTCATTGCTTAAGGGTAGTTTTCCCCTACTTACTTTCCATACAAACTATATTTTCTATTGGAACAAGATCCTTGAAGCGATATAATTAAATTCTGCCATCGCCTTTCTGTCAACGTTGAATCTGATTGGTTGTTGTTAACGTTCGTTCTGTCATTTTTTGCACATATATTTTGGTTGCTTTGTTCCCTGGACCTATTCTTACATGGCCTTATAGTTGTTAATACTTGTTCTAACTGGTTGATGAAGTGAGCCTATTTCAATGTGCTTATTGATTTCGTTGACTAACCTAATTAGCCAAACATAAAAATTGTGCGGTCTTTGTGTTTCTGTTCACTATTTCAACGTTCTCCTGCTCAAGTCTTTGCCCATATTTGTCTACGTGTTTTAACATAAGCATAGATATATGGTAACGTTTAACATTTAGTTGATGTTCATGTTCGGATCTCTATCAACTTCTTTTAAAAGCTATACACAGGTGATAAGCAACCACAAGTTAATCTTTCTAATTCTACTCGACGTACGTGTTGTTTATGAACTGTTATCAAAGATCTTCATATATACCTAATTATATCTAATAAAATAGCATATAGCCTAAATGATGTTGATATTTCCATTATTTAAATATTCTAAATACTTTGATCTTTTAATGCTATATATGATACATATGTTTTTGGTTCATTAATGTTTGATTGCCCTTACATCCTAAGATAGTCTTGAAAACCGAATTAATGTTGATATTAATCTCCCGAAAAAAATATTTCTGATTCATAACTTATGAAACAAATACATAGCTTTGTTTCTGCATAAACTTTGAAATAAATTAAAGTCATAATTGTTCATTTTATTGGAATAACTATATTTCTGTTGACCAGTTCACGCACCATAGGTTCAATTGTCGCCTAAATTCGTGTATTTGAACAAGTTGCAGTATGAATTAACTTTCAAATATTGTCTGATTAGTTCGACTCTGTTGTTTGATCGATATGAGAATACGTCACTTTCCAGTATATTGTTATGGCTCAGTAGTTTAGACATCCGTTTCGTACTCGAATAGGTCATTATATCTTTTATTGCTTTTCAGTGATTTTCAACTTCTTAGTTTTGTTATTGGTATCAATCCCTGCATAATTTCCAAACTAGTAAACTTGGTTTCGAAAAAGAATAAATACCGGGAAAATTTTCTTTTTTTTCACAATTTATAGTTGTTGTATATATAATATCTTGAATTGTGCATCTCACCGATAGTCAGTTCTGTTCAACAATTGCTTTTGTCTATCTATCTATATATTTTTTGCTCATTAACAGATAATTGAGTCAATAATTTTAGAATTAGTATAGATGCTTTTGTGAAGGCTGTTGTATTTTGTAGTTTGCACCACGGACTCACTGTATCTAACTACACAACCAGTGGAAAATAAGAAGTACGAGACAGACTCTTCGTCCTAGTATGAAACTCCTCAACAGTGCTCAGCGACGAATTCACCAGGGGTCGAAATTAGGACTCATGCTACCTATTGCAAATCTGTTACCAGTGGATTTCAACTGCATCGGGAAAGGAGGCAATCACTCACTAAGGGTTTTGAATGATAATCGCTTAATAATGAAAATTGACTGAAGTTAGAAATGTAAACCGTTAGATACCTACTCAGTGGACCGAAGTTTAGCACTTTTTGTGAGGCTTGAGGTTCCCAAGTTCAACCACTAATAGGGTAGTAGGTACGCATTACTGAGGCCTCCTGTACTTGAACGAAATGGCTGCTCAGTACTTCTTGGTTTTCTGTTGTCTAGCTACAATCAATCCGTGATGTAAACCACGTAATGACTATACTCTACTTATGTTTGAAGTTCATATCCTAATATTATATTAATTATTATGTTTGGTCTCTGAATGGCATAGAGTTTAGAACCAATTTAAATATAATACTTTACTCGTAAGACGCTTATACGAAATGGTTTTAAGGTTGAATTTACGCTAAAGACTAATGTAACTTTCTATAAACTGATTATTATTATTATTATTATTATTATTATTATTATTATTATTATTATTATTATTAATAGAATGTCAACAGAAAAAGAATAAAATAGAAATTATTATTTTTACGATTGTTTATATTAGATATTTGATTAGGTAAGTGATAGTTTTCGTTTTGTTTTGTTGTTTAAGAGGAAAAACGCGACGAAAAACAAAAAAAAGGAGTAAGTTGATACTTGAAATAATTGGCTACACACGCATACAACGTAGTGCTGATTGAATAATGCGACTTTTTCTGTGGAAGAGAACCATACTTATACACAGACGAGGGTCAGTTTTTCTAGGTTACAAAACAGGTTTCATGTTTATTCGCTTATTTTCAATGATAATAATAATAATGATTAAGGAACAGTTCAAATGTCAACATCAGTTGGAGAGTGTGAATAACTTGTGCTTGGGACAATAAATGATAAACTTTGCTTGGTTATATACGATGATTCTGGTTCTATTAATTCTGCAACTAAAAATCCACGTAAAATTGCTTCTCTGACAGACAATCGTTCAGTTTGGTCAGAGCTACTATCGCGTTTTTTACTTATCGGTGAATCAGTGCTGAATGGTGACTCGTAAATAGAATGTGTAAACAACATTCGACCGGTTTCTTTGTCAATTAGACCAGCTCGTATTGCAGATGCAACGTCCAGATTAATTGGATTATGTTTGTTTTGACCTGCATCAGGTCTAATTGAATGTACTAGATACCTACTTCGTTGTATCTCTGGTGTTCTCCAAACTATTTTGGCATCCAATGATGGCTGCGCTTCTGTTGATATTCTATCACTAGCTAACCGAACTGCCTTAGAAATCACTGCATCTGCCAGTGGTATGGAAACTGTTGAATCTACTGATGATTGCCTAGGTCCAAGTTTTTCATAATCCCAGTATACTACTCTTAGTAGACCACGATAAAATGCTTCACTTGCGCTAACGATTTTGCTTGTTCCAGGTACTATTACTCCAGTTATTTTGAGTTCTAGCAGTTTCCCAGGACTATCAACCCAAACTTCATCTCGTATCTGATTACTTGTGTCGCTATCCCTACGGCGTTCTGTATCTCGTATTTCTGCTGGATGCCATGTCACCATCGAAAATTCTCTGTCTTCAATTTTCTGGCTCTGATTTATGCGAATTACTTCCTCATCACTTAGGTAAGTTGGTAGATATGTGCAGTTATTATCAGGTGTCATCTGCCCCACAAACCGAGTTTGTGATTGGGCGTCTTTTAATTGCGTTATTGGAAGTGTTTGAGGTTGTATTTGTGAATGAACGGTCACTGGGATGCTAGCTTGACTCCCACATGTTGGACATATATAAGTCTGGACTGTATGTTCAATACTGAATGTCGATTGCTCTTGTGTAGTCTCTGTAAATGTGGTAGTGGCCAAATTAAATGGATGAGAAGTACGTGTCTGCATGCTTGTTATCCCGTGCTGACGATGGTGACTTGTTAGTTCTTCGGTAGTCGGCGACAGTGGACTTACTACCGAGCCACTACGCGTCGGTGGTGGCTGATTTGTTCCTCCAGAAATGAAGCTACGACCACGTTGTATCCGTTTATTTTTATGTGGAGGTCGAGTGGTAAGGAGAATATCACTAGTCTGTGTTCCCATGTTCTCAAGATTTCTGATTTGACTCACTAAGTTCCCCGTTGAAGTAAACTGTGTCTTCGCTTCAACTAGCCGTGATTTTTCCGCTGTATGTATACTTCGATCAAGACTAACTGAAAGCCCTGAGTATCTACCGATCGTTCTTAATCTAGAAAGCAAGTATTGCTCTCCCCAAACTTTCAGTAAATTCTGAAAACAGATTTCAGCATCAGTATATATGCCTGTCTCATGTTCATGTATTCCATGCAAATCGATATCCTGTGGGTGTGTTTCTCTCAGAAATCGTTCGTGGGCTACATGAGAGTCAAGTGAACTTCCTCTTTCCCTATAGTCCTCTGTAAGCAACTCTTCATGTACTACTCGACGATCTCCACGTTTTTGCATAGTTGTGACCTTCGTTGTTCTTGGTGCAATTGTTGTTTCTTCATCAAACTCTTCATCTAGATTACTAGGTAAACTCGATGTTAATAGATCAGTATGTTCGACAATTCTTTTGGCTACTGGACCTCGACGACAATAAGATGACAAACCTTTCCTAGCTATTGTCGTCACAACTCTTTTTATATAATAGTCATCTTCAATCGCATCAGTTTGTACACCTATATTTACTGGTGAATCGATAGTTAACTTATGTTTCGAAGATTCAGTGGTTTGCGTTACCCCAGTAAGTGTCACTGGTGCAAATTGTACTCCCCAACTTACAACATCTGGCTTTAAATATTGATACGGTGTCTTAGCCTTTCCATTTCCATTTCTGCTTGTTGATTCTGTATGACCAAGCATATGAGTAGTTGGTCGTGCACTAACTGAAACTGAATTTTGTTGAGGTGAGTAACTTCCACTTGAATCTATTATTTGGGGATGTCTTATTTCATACTGAATATCTTGCAGAACATTTGATACTTGTGCTTCTGACCATAGTGTTTCTTTGAGTAACTTTATATTTCTCCTTTCAGATATCTGGGTATCATGATAGGATATTTGAGATTCTATAAGTCCTTTTTCAAAGGGCATAGTATCTACACACTTATCCGTAGTTAACTTTTCTAACTGAACAATTGTGGTCTTTTTCGAAATTCTTCCTATGCTATCAACTTCCCTACTTTCAGGTAATTGAATACTTCCCAACAAAAACGTATCAGTTTGGATATTCTTTGATTCACCCCTAGCTTTATAGCCGGACTCTCTGTATAGTTTCAGCACATCGGATGTGTCTAATGCTTTTGGCTTGTCAGGAATAGTTTCCATTTGGAGAATACGTGTAAAGTAATTTGATTTCACTGTACTGGATGCTGTTTGTTTTGTTCTTATTGATTTTTCTTCCGATCGCATATCTTTGTCAATCGTTTTCTTATCATATCCCCGTGATATACACTTGAAACATTCAATACTTTTTAGTAAACACTCATCTGTTTGTGTTATCTCAGTTAATGAGGTTGACATTCCTTTGTAGATTGTCTCTTGAGGATGTATAAATTCTTCTTCTACTTGTTCACCAAGTTTAGATGGGTAGACTTGTAGTTTTTTGTTCTTAACCTGTAAAGGTGATGGAGAAGTCTCACTTGGTCTTGTTTCTTGAGTCCCTGCATCTACTGTAACTACTGGTCGTATATTACTCGCCTGAACTCCAATACTTGATGAAGACGAAGTTTTATGATAGTCACAAAGAGAAATGTCCTGTATGGTTTGAGAAGATGTATTTTTTAATGTAGAAAATGAGGAACCATACTGAAGTTTCTTTTGATATTGTTGAGGAGTTATTTTTACTTGGCATTCTTGATCTATTTTTATTTTTGGTATTCCTTGTGAAGTGCTTGTCACGTTAGACGCTGAATCATGAACCACATGTGCATCCACTGATGAAACTGTTGTTTTATCAACCTGTTCAATACTTATATCATGGTATCTATAATCTGAAGTTTGTGTTCCTATAGAGGCTACATTTATTGGAGTCTTTGGTGACGAAGGCGATATTAGATTCACTTGGAATTTCTTGTTTCGTTGATCCACACGTACGTTTGTTGAAAAAGGCACATCTGTTTGAATGCTAACAACTCTGGACGTTACTTCGTGACTAGTTGATGAAGGCTTCGTGAGTTCAGTATACTGACATGATACATCCGTATGACGAACTAAAGCAGTTTGAGTTAATTTACTGTCCAGGTGAACAGTAGACATAGTGTGATCTGTTTGGACACCCAAATCAGTTGAATCACAACGAACCTGAAGTTTCTTCCCTTTCAGAACAGTTCGTTCCTTCTCGTGTGCGACACTCATTTCTTTCATCTCAATTGGTGAACTTAAATCGACAGTCTGTGTCCCATCTATTGAATGTATCACTCCAGATTGAATTTGGACATCGTACGTTGTAGAAGATAACGTTGCTTGACAGAATGTATCAGCCAGTTTGGTGGGTGTGGTTTGTGTTGATTGTGAAGTGTTTGGAACAGTATGCATGGTCGATGAGATTGTTGATTGAACAATGGGAGTAATTTGATCAGTTTGGACTCCCAAATCAGTTGAATCACAACGAACCTGAAGTTTCTTCCCTTTCAGAACAGTTCGTTCCTTCTCGTGTGCGACACTCATTTCTTTCATCTCAATTGGTGAACTTAAATCGACAGTCTGTGTCCCATCTATTGAATGTATCACTCCAGATTGAATTTGGACATCGTACGTTGTAGAAGATAACGTTGCTTGACAGAATGTATCAGCCAGTTTGGTGGGTGTGGTTTGTGTTGATTGTGAAGTGTTTGGAACAGTATGCATGGTCGATGAGATTGTTGATTGAACAATGGGAGTAATTTGATCAGTTTGGACTCCCAAATCAGTTGAATCACAACGAACCTGAAGTTTCTTCCCTTTCAGAACAGTTCGTTCCTTCTCGTGTGCGACACTCATTTCTTTCATCTCAATTGGTGAACTTAAATCGACAGTCTGTGTCCCATCTATTGAATGTATCACTCCAGATTGAATTTGGACATCGTACGTTGTAGAAGATAACGTTGCTTGACAGAATGTATCAGCCAGTTTGGTGGGTGTGGTTTGTGTTGATTGTGAAGTGTTTGGAACAGTATGCATGGTCGATGAGATTGTTGATTGAACAATGGGAGTAATTTGATCAGTTTGGACTCCCAAATCAGTTGAATCACAACGAACCTGAAGTTTCTTCCCTTTCAGAACAGTTCGTTCCTTCTCGTGTGCGACACTCATTTCTTTCATCTCAATTGGTGAACTTAAATCGACAGTCTGTGTCCCATCTATTGAATTTATCACTCCAGATTGAATTTGGACATCGTACGTTGTAGAAGATAACGTTGCTTGACAGAATGTATCAGCCAGTTTGGTGGGTGTGGTTTGTGTTGATTGTGAAATGTTTGGAAAAGTATGCATGGTCGATGAGATTGTTGACCGAACAATAGGCACAGTTTCAAAATGATCAAATCCTACACCGACAGTGTGGTATACTGGTCGTTCCTCTGGAATAGTCTGAACTGACTGTGCACAGTGGACAGTACCAGACTGAGTCACAACATCGAACGTGGTTTTTGGCAATACAGTAGGGACTTGAGTCATCGGATCAGTCTGTGTGCTTGTGTTGTCAACTGATTGACGCATTGTTGCCTGAACCTTCTTGCCTATTAAGGAAGGTGATTTTTCACTGTGAATCACACTGACGTCTGCAGTATGGAATACTGGTCGTTCCTCTGGAATAGTCTGAACTGACTGTGCACAGTGGACAGTACCAGACTGAGTCACAACATCGAACGTGGTTTTTGGCAATACAGTAGGGACTTGAGTCATCGGATCAGTCTGTGTGCTTGTGTTGTCAACTGCTTGACGCATTGTTGCCTGAACGTTCTCGTATAACACGGGCTGCAATTTCCCAGTATGATCAACTCCTACACCGACAGTGTGGTATACTGGTCGTTCCTCTGGAATAGTCTGAACTGACTGTGCACAGTGGATAGTACCAGACTGAGTCACAACATCGAACGTGGTTTTTGGCAATACAGTAGGGACTTGAGTCATCGGATCAGTCTGTGTGCTTGTGTTGTCAACTGATTGACGCATTGTTGCCTGAACCTTCTTGCCTATTAAGGAAGGTGATTTTTCACTGTGAATCACACTGACGTCTGCAGTATGGAATACTGGTCGTTCCTCTGGAATAGTCTGAACTGACTGTGCACAGTGGACAGTACCAGACTGAGTCACAACATCGAACGTGGTTTTTGGCAATACAGTAGGGACTTGAGTCATCGGATCAGTCTGTGTGCTTGTGTTGTCAACTGATTGACGCATTGTTGCCTGAACGTTCTCGTATAACACGGGCTGCAATTTCCCAGTATGATCAACTCCTACACCGACAGTGTGGTATACTGGTCGTTCCTCTGGAATAGTCTGAACTGACTGTGCACAGTGGACAGTACCAGACTGAGTCACAACATCGAACGTGGTTTTTGGCAATACAGTAGGGACTTGAGTCATCGGATCAGTCTGTGTGCTTGTGTTGTCAACTGATTGACGCATTGTTGCCTGAACCTTCTTGCCTACTAATGAAGGTGATTTTTCACTGTGAATCACACTGACGTCTGCAGTATGGAATACTGGTCGTTCCTCTGGAATAGTCTGAACTGACTGTGCACAGTGGACAGTACCAGACTGAGTCACAACATCGAACGTGGTTTTTGGCAATACAGTAGGGACTTGAGTCATCGGATCAGTCTGTGTGCTTGTGTTGTCAACTGATTGACGCATTGTTGCCTGAACCTTCTTGCCTACTAATGAAGGTGATTTTTCACTGTGAATCACACTGACGTCTGCAGTATGGAATACTGGTCGTTCCTCTGGAATAGTCTGAACTGACTGTGCACAGTGGACAGTACCAGACTGAGTCACAACATCGAACGTGGTTTTTGGCAATACAGTAGGGACTTGAGTCATCGGATCAGTCTGTGTGCTTGTGTTGTCAACTGATTGACGCATTGTTGCCTGAACCTTCTTGCCTACTAATGAAGGTGATTTTTCACTGTGAATCACACTGACGTCTGCAGTATGGAATACTGGTCGTTCCTCTGGAATTGTTTGAACTGACTGTGCACAGTGGATAGTACCAGACTGAGTCACAACATCGAACGTGGTTTTTGGTAATGCAGTAGGGACTTGAGTCATCGGATCAGTCTGTGTGCTTGTGTTGTCAACTGATTGACGCATGATTACCTGAAGTTTCTTGTTCACCAGTGAAGGTGATTTTTCACTGTGAATCACACTGACGTCTGCAGTATGGAATACCGGTTTTTCTTCTAGAATAGTTTGTGTTGACTGTGTCTTGACTACCGTCCCTGATTGTGCTTGTATATCAAATGTTTTTATATTGGCCTTTAGCCATTCTGCTTGTGTTTGCTTATGTGCAACTTGCGGAGCTGTAGAAAACACCTGAGCAACGGGTTTGACAGGTTGTACGCTTACCTCTTCGGTTTGTAAACACACATCGTCAGATGGATGGTATACCACAGCTTGAAGTTTCTTGTTTACTGTTTGTACATGATGTGACTCCTGAAATACACTCACATCTTTTATGTCTGGGATTAGTTTCTGTTCGTGTGGTGTTTGTGTTTCTGAATCTATCGTCACTGATCCCGATTGTGTTTGCACATCAAATGTAGGTTTTGTCGGTGTTGGATGTGCAGAGGTTCCTACTAATTCTGTTTGTATGACTACGTCTTTCATTTGAGACATTATTTTTGCTTGCAACTTCTTGTTAATTTGTCGATTTTTGAGTTCATGAGTTACACTAACGTCGGTCTTGTTCACTGTAGTGTGGACCCCTTCTAGTGTTTGTGCTCCCTGTTCTTTTTGAATTATTCCTGATTGTGTCTGTACATTCGACTGGTGTTTCTGCTTGATATTTATCAGTTGACTTTCATCTGTTTGGACGTAAGTATAGGACACTGGATGTCGAGCATCTGCTTGAATATCTATATTTATCATTGTTCTTTGTACTGCCTCATACTGTGTACTAGATTCTTTCGTCATTGCGAATGTTTTATGCTCTAATTTTGTCTGCGATTCCTGTGATTTGCAAATGATTCCTGATTGTATTTCTACATCATTTGTTTTAGATTTGATTTGCGCGTAAGACTGACGATCAAAAAATTCTAAACTGTCAGTTTGTGATGATATTTCATGTGTCTGTTCAGAGTGATGAATTCTTTGTATCGTTGGTACTGTTACGCCTGGTATTGATTCGTATGTTTGCGCGGCTGCCTCTCGAACTGACTGGGAAATAGTTACTTGTAGCTTTTTATTTATTATTTGTGTAGTCGTTGGTGCGAGCTGAACAATTTCTTCTTTCGTAGTTGTTAAAGGTAAACTAAATGTTTGAGTTTCTTCCTGACGACAAAATACATCAAATTGAGCTTCTGCATTCCGAATATTAATAACACGTTTATCTTTTATCAGACACTGTATTTCAACGTTTTTACTTTCAACTTGTATCCTAGCTTGGACAGCTTTGGAGAAACAAGAATTGACCGATCTGACATAATCAACAGCAACATCTTTCATCAAAAAATCTTCCGATATAAGAACAGCTTGACAACCAACAGTAAGAGACAAAGTACCAGACTGAGTCACAACATCGAACGTGGTTTTTGGCAATACAGTAGGGACTTGAGTCATCGGATCAGTCTGTGTGCTTGTGTTGTCAACTGATTGACGCATTGTTGCCTGAACCTTCTTGCCTACTAATGAAGGTGATTTTTCACTGTGAATCACACTGACGTCTGCAGTATGGAATACTGGTCGTTCCTCTGGAATTGTTTGAACTGACTGTGCACAGTGGACAGTACCAGACTGAGTCACAACATCGAACGTGGTTTTTGGCAATACAGTAGGGACTTGAGTCATCGGATCAGTCTGTGTGCTTGTGTTGTCAACTGATTGACGCATTGTTGCCTGAACCTTCTTGCCTACTAATGAAGGTGATTTTTCACTGTGAATCACACTGACGTCTGCAGTATGGAATACTGGTCGTTCCTCTGGAATAGTCTGAACTGACTGTGCACAGTGGACAGTACCAGACTGAGTCACAACATCGAACGTGGTTTTTGGCAATACAGTAGGGACTTGAGTCATCGGATCAGTCTGTGTGCTTGTGTTGTCAACTGATTGACGCATTGTTGCCTGAACGTTCTCGTATAACACGGGCTGCAATTTCCCAGTATGATCAACTCCTACACCGACAGTGTGGTATACTGGTCGTTCCTCTGGAATAGTCTGAACTGACTGTGCACAGTGGACAGTACCAGACTGAGTCACAACATCGAACGTGGTTTTTGGCAATACAGTAGGGACTTGAGTCATCGGATCAGTCTGTGTGCTTGTGTTGTCAACTGATTGACGCATTGTTGCCTGAACCTTCTTGCCTATTAAGGAAGGTGATTTTTCACTGTGAATCACACTGACGTCTGCAGTATGGAATACTGGTCGTTCCTCTGGAATAGTCTGAACTGACTGTGCACAGTGGACAGTACCAGACTGAGTCACAACATCGAACGTGGTTTTTGGCAATACAGTAGGGACTTGAGTCATCGGATCAGTCTGTGTGCTTGTGTTGTCAACTGATTGACGCATTGTTGCCTGAACGTTCTCGTATAACACGGGCTGCAATTTCCCAGTATGATCAACTCCTACACCGACAGTGTGGTATACTGGTCGTTCCTCTGGAATAGTCTGAACTGACTGTGCACAGTGGACAGTACCAGACTGAGTCACAACATCGAACGTGGTTTTTGGCAATACAGTAGGGACTTGAGTCATCGGATCAGTCTGTGTGCTTGTGTTGTCAACTGATTGACGCATTGTTGCCTGAACCTTCTTGCCTACTAATGAAGGTGATTTTTCACTGTGAATCACACTGACGTCTGCAGTATGGAATACTGATCGTTCCTCTGGAATAGTCTGAACTGACTGTGCACAGTGGACAGTACCAGACTGAGTCACAACATCGAACGTGGTTTTTGGCAATACAGTAGGGACTTGAGTCATCGGATCAGTCTGTGCGCTTGTGTTGTCAACTGATTGACGCATTGTTGCCTGAACCTTCTTGCCTACTAATGAAGGTGATTTTTCACTGTGAATCACACTGACGTCTGCAGTATGGAATACTGGTCGTTCCTCTGGAATAGTCTGAACTGACTGTGCACAGTGGACAGTACCAGACTGAGTCACAACATCGAACGTGGTTTTTGGCAATACAGTAGGGACTTGAGTCATCGGATCAGTCTGTGTGCTTGTGTTGTCAACTGATTGACGCATTGTTGCCTGAACCTTCTTGCCTATTAAGGAAGGTGATTTTTCACTGTGAATCACACTGACGTCTGCAGTATGGAATACTGGTCGTTCCTCTGGAATAGTCTGAACTGACTGTGCACAGTGGACAGTACCAGACTGAGTCACAACATCGAACGTGGTTTTTGGCAATACAGTAGGGACTTGAGTCATCGGATCAGTCTGTGTGCTTGTGTTGTCAACTGATTGACGCATTGTTGCCTGAACCTTCTTGCCTACTAATGAAGGTGATTTTTCACTGTGAATCACACTGACGTCTGCAGTATGGAATACTGGTCGTTCCTCTGGAATTGTTTGAACTGACTGTGCACAGTGGACAGTACCAGACTGAGTCACAACATCGAACGTGGTTTTTGGCAATACAGTAGGGACTTGAGTCATCGGATCAGTCTGTGTGCTTGTGTTGTCAACTGATTGACGCATGATTACCTGAAGTTTCTTGTTCACCAGTGAAGGTGATTTTTCACTGTGAATCACACTGACGTCTGCAGTATGGAATACCGGTTTTTCTTCTAGAATAGTTTGTGTTGACTGTGTCTTGACTACCGTCCCTGATTGTGCTTGTATATCAAATGTTTTTATATTGGCCTTTAGCCATTCTGCTTGTGTTTGCTTATGTGCAACTTGCGGAGCTGTAGAAAACACCTGAGCAACGGGTTTGACAGGTTGTACGCTTACCTCTTCGGTTTGTAAACACACATCGTCAGATGGATGGTATACCACAGCTTGAAGTTTCTTGTTTACTGTTTGTACATGATGTGACTCCTGAAATACACTCACATCTTTTATGTCTGGGATTAGTTTCTGTTCGTGTGGTGTTTGTGTTTCTGAATCTATCGTCACTGATCCTGATTGTGTTTGGACGTCGAATAACTTTGGTGGCAAGATAACCGGTGGTGGTCTCTCTTCCATCGTTTGAGTTTCTGTGTTAATGGTGGGCGGTTGTACCATTGCTTGTAATTTTTTGTGTACAATTGGTTCTGGACGTTTTTCGTGTTGTGTAAGCAACTCTTTCATTTCGATTACTGGTCTACGTTCTTGTGGTGTTTGTGTTTCTGAATCTATCGTCACTGATCCTGATTGTGTTTGGACGTCGAATAACTTTGGTGGCAAGATAACCGGTGGTGGTCTCTCTTCCATTGTCTGAGTTTCTGTGTTAATGGTGGGTGGTTGCACCATTGCTTGTAATTTTTTGTGTACAATTGGTTCTGGACGTTTCTCGTGTTGTGTAATCATATCTTTCATTTCGACAACTGGTCTCTGTTCACCTGGCGTTTGTGCTGCCTGTGACTTAAGCATACTTCCAAATTGAGTCTGAACATCGTATGTTTTCAATTTGAATGACGTAAATGATTGTTCATCTTTTAATGTCACTCGCTCAGTTTGTGTCGGTGTTTCATGTGTTTGTGGTTCATGATGCGTAGTTTTCACCATAGGTATGACAACAGGTTGTGCTAATAAATCTGTTTGTGTAGCCATGTTTTCTAGTGGTGGGACGACTGTAGCCTGTAACTTCTTGGGAAGTGATTGAACAGGTTTTGTTTCTTGATGTACACTTGCATCTTTAGTCGCGACCACTGGCCTACGTTCTAGTGGTGTTTGTGTTTCTGAATCTATCGTCACTGATCCTGATTGTGTTTGGACGTCGAATAACTTTGGTGGCAAGATAACCGGTGGTGGTCTCTCTTCCATCGTTTGAGTTTCTGTGTTAATGGTGGGCGGTTGTACCATTGCTTGTAATTTTTTGTGTACAATTGGTTCTGGACGTTTTTCGTGTTGTGTAAGCAACTCTTTCATTTCGATTACTGGTCTACGTTCTTGTGGTGTTTGTGTTTCTGAATCTATCGTCACTGATCCTGATTGCGTTTGGACGTCGAATAACTTTGGTGGCAAGATAACCGGTGGTGGTCTCTCTTCCATTGTCTGAGTTTCTGTGTTAATGGTGGGTGGTTGCACCATTGCTTGTAATTTTTTGTGTACAATTGGTTCTGGACGTTTCTCGTGTTGTGTAATCATATCTTTCATTTCGACAACTGGTCTCTGTTCACCTGGCGTTTGTGCTGCCTGTGACTTAAGCATACTTCCAAATTGAGTCTGAACATCGTATGTTTTCAATTTGAATGACGTAAATGATTGTTCATCTTTTAATGTCACTCGCTCAGTTTGTGTCGGTGTTTCATGTGTTTGTGGTTCATGATGCGTAGTTTTCACCATAGGTATGACAACAGGTTGTGCTAATAAATCTGTTTGTGTAGCCATGTTTTCTAGTGGTGGGACGACTGTAGCCTGTAACTTCTTGGGAAGTGATTGAACAGGTTTTGTTTCTTGATGTACACTTGCATCTTTAGTCGCGACCACTGGCCTACGTTCTAGTGGTGTTTGTGTTTCTGAATCTATCGTCACTGATCCTGATTGTGTTTGGACGTCGAATAACTTTGGTGGCAAGATAACCGGTGGTGGTCTCTCTTCCATCGTTTGAGTTTCTGTGTTAATGGTGGGCGGTTGTACCATTGCTTGTAATTTTTTGTGTACAATTGGTTCTGGACGTTTTTCGTGTTGTGTAAGCAACTCTTTCATTTCGATTACTGGTCTACGTTCTTGTGGTGTTTGTGTTTCTGAATCTATCGTCACTGATCCTGATTGTGTTTGGACGTCGAATAACTTTGGTGGCAAGATAACCGGTGGTGGTCTCTCTTCCATTGTCTGAGTTTCTGTGTTAATGGTGGGTGGTTGCACCATTGCTTGTAATTTTTTGTGTACAATTGGTTCTGGACGTTTCTCGTGTTGTGTAATCATATCTTTCATTTCGACAACTGGTCTCTGTTCACCTGGCGTTTGTGCTGCCTGTGACTTAAGCATACTTCCAAATTGAGTCTGAACATCGTATGTTTTCAATTTGAATGACGTAAATGATTGTTCATCTTTTAATGTCACTCGCTCAGTTTGTGTCGGTGTTTCATGTGTTTGTGGTTCATGATGCGTAGTTTTCACCATAGGTATGACAACAGGTTGTGCTAATAAATCTGTTTGTGTAGCCATGTTTTCTAGTGGTGGGACGACTGTAGCCTGTAACTTCTTGGGAAGTGATTGAACAGGTTTTGTTTCTTGATGTACACTTGCATCTTTAGTCGCGACCACTGGCCTACGTTCTAGTGGTGTTTGTGTTTCTGAATCTATCGTCACTGATCCTGATTGTGTTTGGACGTCGAATAACTTTGGTGGCAAAATAACCGGTGGTGGTCTCTCTTCCATCGTTTGAGTTTCTGTGTTAATGGTGGGCGGTTGTACCATTGCTTGTAATTTTTTGTGTACAATTGGTTCTGGACGTTTTTCGTGTTGTGTAAGCAACTCTTTCATTTCGATTACTGGTCTACGTTCTTGTGGTGTTTGTGTTTCTGAATCTATCGTCACTGATCCTGATTGTGTTTGGACGTCGAATAACTTTGGTGGCAAGATAACCGGTGGTGGTCTCTCTTCCATTGTCTGAGTTTCTGTGTTAATGGTGGGTGGTTGCACCATTGCTTGTAATTTTTTGTGTACAATTGGTTCTGGACGTTTCTCGTGTTGTGTAATCATATCTTTCATTTCGACAACTGGTCTCTGTTCACCTGGCGTTTGTGCTGCCTGTGACTTAAGCATACTTCCAAATTGAGTCTGAACATCGTATGTTTTCAATTTGAATGACGTAAATGATTGTTCATCTTTTAATGTCACTCGCTCAGTTTGTGTCGGTGTTTCATGTGTTTGTGGTTCATGTTGCGTAGTTTGCACCACTCTGAAATCCATTTCGTGCTGCATTCCAGTGGATCGTTTTTCTGTTGTTGGCTTGTAATCTAATAATGTCTGGAATGCTTGGGAAATATTTATCGTCCCTGATTGTGTTTGTACGTCATAATTTTTACTTCTTATTCGAGTAAATGTTTGTTGGCTTCTCATTTTTACTTCAGCTTCTGGTGAACTTTCTATTGTTTGTGTTTCTTTTGAACTGCATGTTACGAATGTTTCAACGTCTTTATCCTTTGTTAATATACCGAATTGAGTCGTTACCTCAAATATTTCTTTCTGTTTCGCTCTCACCAAGTTCGTTGATATTACATTTTCTCTAGTCATCTCTTCTGTTTGCAGATTTATATGTTTAAATGCATTTTTGATATCTACCTGTACTTGTCTGCTTTGTCGCTCTACGTTTGGTGGCACTTGGTATGAACCTAAGTGCCTTACAGCAACTTCTGGTTTTGGATCTACTCCCACTGAAATAATTGAAGGAATCTCTGACTGTGTGGATACTTCATGGTTTACCTGACCAACCTGACATATAACATCGTTGACAGCCTTCGACACAAACTTCGGTTCCACTCGGAATCCCATATCTGTCTGAATCTCCTTAGTGTATGTTGGTGTTTTGGCACTTTGAGTTCCCGCTAGTAACATTGAAGTTTTATGAGGTTCATCTATCTGGATCCCTGAAGATTCCATAACACTTCCTACTTGACATACTACATCGGACGATGGTTTGCGTAACATATGCTTAATTAAGTCGGCTTGTTGGTAGGCATCTACGGTTTCTTTGTACGATGTTATCGGTACATCCTGTGTTTCTATTGGCTTCACATACACCGGTTGTTCTTGTATCAGTTCAGCTTGTGTTATTTTCGATGTGTGGACAATCCCTGTTTGTGTGACGACATCATTGGCCATCTTCTTTTCCCACACGTTAATCGGGTCAATACCAGTATCCTTGTATGCTGGTCTAGCGGTGACATATTCAACTGACTGTGTGGATACTTCATGGTTTACCTGACCAACCTGACATATAACATCGTTGACAGCCTTCGACACAAACTTCGGTTCCACTCGGAATCCCATATCTGTCTGAATCTCCTTAGTGTATGTTGGTGTTTTGGCACTTTGAGTTCCCGCTAGTAACATTGAAGTTTTATGAGGTTCATCTATCTGGATCCCTGAAGATTCCATAACACTTCCTACTTGACATACTACATCGGACGATGGTTTGCGTAACATATGCTTAATTAAGTCGGCTTGTTGGTAGGCATCTACGGTTTCTTTGTACGATGTTATCGGTACATCCTGTGTTTCTATTGGCTTCACATACACTGGTTGTTCTTGTATCAGTTCAGCTTGTGTTATTTTCGATGTGTGGACAATCCCTGTTTGTGTGACGACATCATTGGCCATCTTCTTTTCCCACACGTTAATCGGGTCAATACCAGTATCCTTGTATGCTGGTCTAGCGGTGACATATTCAACTGACTGTGTGGATACTTCATGGTTTACCTGACCAACCTGACATATAACATCGTTGACAGCCTTCGACACAAACTTCGGTTCCACTCGGAATCCCATATCTGTCTGAATCTCCTTAGTGTATGTTGGTGTTTTGGCACTTTGAGTTCCCGCTAGTAACATTGAAGTTTTATGAGGTTCATCTATCTGGATCCCTGAAGATTCCATAACACTTCCTACTTGACATACTACATCGGACGATGGTTTGCGTAACATATGCTTAATTAAGTCGGCTTGTTGGTAGGCATCTACGGTTTCTTTGTACGATGTTATCGGTACATCCTGTGTTTCTATTGGCTTCACATACACCGGTTGTTCTTGTATCAGTTCAGCTTGTGTTATTTTCGATGTGTGGACAATCCCTGTTTGTGTGACGACATCATTGGCCATCTTCTTTTCCCACACGTTAATCGGGTCAATACCAGTATCCTTGTATGCTGGTCTAGCGGTGACATATTCAACTGACTGTGTGGATACTTCATGGTTTACCTGACCAACCTGACATATAACATCGTTGACAGCCTTCGACACAAACTTCGGTTCCACTCGGAATCCCATATCTGTCTGAATCTCCTTAGTGTATGTTGGTGTTTTGGCACTTTGAGTTCCCGCTAGTAACATTGAAGTTTTATGAGGTTCATCTATCTGGATCCCTGAAGATTCCATAACACTTCCTACTTGACATACTACATCGGACGATGGTTTGCGTAACATATGCTTAATTAAGTCGGCTTGTTGGTAGGCATCTACGGTTTCTTTGTACGATGTTATCGGTACATCCTGTGTTTCTATTGGCTTCACATACACCGGTTGTTCTTGTATCAGTTCAGCTTGTGTTATTTTCGATGTGTGGACAATCCCTGTTTGTGTGACGACATCATTGGCCATCTTCTTTTCCCACACGTTAATCGGGTCAATACCAGTATCCTTGTATGCTGGTCTAGCGGTGACATATTCAACTGACTGTGTGGATACTTCATGGTTTACCTGACCAACCTGACATATAACATCGTTGACAGCCTTCGACACAAACTTCGGTTCCACTCGGAATCCCATATCTGTCTGAATCTCCTTAGTGTATGTTGGTGTTTTGGCACTTTGAGTTCCCGCTAGTAACATTGAAGTTTTATGAGGTTCATCTATCTGGATCCCTGAAGATTCCATAACACTTCCTACTTGACATACTACATCGGACGATGGTTTGCGTAACATATGCTTAATTAAGTCGGCTTGTTGGTAGGCATCTACGGTTTCTTTGTACGATGTTATCGGTACATCCTGTGTTTCTATTGGCTTCACATACACTGGTTGTTCTTGTATCAGTTCAGCTTGTGTTATTTTCGATGTGTGGACAATCCCTGTTTGTGTGACGACATCATTGGCCATCTTCTTTTCCCACACGTTAATCGGGTCAATACCAGTATCCTTGTATGCTGGTCTAGCGGTGACATATTCAACTGACTGTGTGGATACTTCATGGTTTACCTGACCAACCTGACATATAACATCGTTGACAGCCTTCGACACAAACTTCGGTTCCACTCGGAATCCCATATCTGTCTGAATCTCCTTAGTGTATGTTGGTGTTTTGGCACTTTGAGTTCCCGCTAGTAACATTGAAGTTTTATGAGGTTCATCTATCTGGATCCCTGAAGATTCCATAACACTTCCTACTTGACATACTACATCGGACGATGGTTTGCGTAACATATGCTTAATTAAGTCAGCCTGTGTTGATTGTGCTGTTTGAACCTTTCCTATTTGACATATTATATCACTTTTCTTCATATCCTGTCTTATCATTTGTTCATTACTGATGACCATTGGTGACATCTCCGTACTTGCGTTTATTGTTATCCTACCTACTTGACATGCTGCTTCAGTTGTTTTGACTGGGTGCTGCCATACCTTTTTGATTTCTGCTTGTACTCCAAGATTTTTCTTATTTCTTTCTGTATTCTCTATTTCTATTTGTGTTCCAGTTGTTTGTGTAACCTGTCCTATTTGACAGATAGCATCTAGTACGCTGTATTTTCGTGCAGCTTTTTGTGATTCAGGTATGTCCATTTTCACAACGGTTTCTGTGATGCATTCCGACTGAGTGGAATTATTCTTAGTGATAACACCAGATTGAACTATCGCATCCAAAGTTGGCTTTTTAAGCGTTTGTTGCAGCTTGTAATGCTCTAATGTCTGACATGAAGCATTCGCTGTAATTTGACCTATTTGACATAATACTTCTTTAACTGAACGCTTAGGACTGTATCCATGATAGTCATCTTGTGTGCCTGCATCGACTTTCGAAATTCCGATTTGAGTTATTGCATTTCTTACTTGTTTTCTTTCAGGAATCGTCGCTGGCACAAATTGTCTTTTAGATATACATAAATCTATTTTATTACGACCACCATCACCGTCGTCATCAGAAATTTGAGTCCCTGATGTTTTGGTTGTAACACCAATTTGTGTAATAGCATCAAGTACTGGACATGGAATTGATTCTGATCTTGTTCTAGACGATAATCGTGATGTTTCTCTCATTATAGATTGAGGTGATCTTGCATCTATTGGATACATTTGATTATTACCTGTCCAATTGTCGGATATTGTACTAGATTTTAAACTAGAACTTATTCTAGAATTGGTTATACTAGAATCAACATTCGGTTCATGTTCATATCGACTACTCCATCTTTTCACACGATTTATCAATTGATCCAACTGAGACTGACTCTCATGTTGTAACTGACTGAATAAGGAAACATAAGAAAAGTATAAAAATTTAAACCAGTATGATTACACATATGCTTGTTAAGACATTGTTAAAACATATATCACACAATTCTGATAAACTTCGTTTTCTCATTGCATTATCGAAATTTATCAAATGGACTAATTGTTTTAAATAAACCAGTATAGTATTTTGAAATAAATTGTATTTAATTATATAATGATCTTTCTTCGGCCCTTTTTTAAATATAATTTGAACAACACATATAAGCGAACAATTGTTTTCAATTAAATCGTCATCAGGCTTTACTCTAATATACATGAATATGTATACGAAAATGTTAAACCAATCAAGGCAATATGGGTCAATAATCACAATGAAATTTTCCGCCTCTTTCCGTTTGTATTCTTCACTATCTAATTATTTATACACTTCTTATTACGTAATGATTTTAATGTTTTGTGTTGACTTTTCCAGGTCTACTTACCCACATTTGACCTTCTATTTCCAACGTTTAACTATTGATAAGACTTTTCACAGATTGAAATCATGAGTCGGTTGAAGCAAGACCACCACTGAAAGCCTGGAAGCACTGGACAGCCGTTTCGTCCTAGTATGGGACTTCTCAGCAGTGCGCATCCACGATCCCGCACCACTCGGGGCTCGAACCCAGGACCTACTGGCTTCGCGCGCGAGCACTTAACCACTAGACCACTGAGCTGGCATCCAACGGTGTTCAATCTGTGAAAATTCCTAAAAATCTTCACAAAACACATTCTGATGACAAGACTTTTGTTATCGTATTTTATTATTCTTACCTACTAACAGTACACCCATCTTCCTACTATCAACATGTATTTTTACCTATTATGTGTAGTGACTTATTCTATTTCATTGTGATTATTGACCCATATTGCCTTGATTGGTTTAACATTTTCGTATAAATATTCATGTATATTAGAGTAAAGCCTGATGACGATCTAATTGTTCGCTTATATGTTTTGTTCTAATTTTCACAATGGGAATCTTTAATATTCTAAAATATAATTTGAACAATTCTAATTCAGTAATTTTAATAATGTTTTAGCTAATTTAATTTCAATTTTCCTTTTTCTAACATTTTGACGTACTTCTCATTAAAATACATTGATCTAAGCCTTTATTATTTTTTAATCCAAGTAAATCGCCTAATTTGAAATTTGATAGTAAAATGAACAAATAGTTATCACCATGTACTGATAACAGTTCATTATTATCTATATGTTCACATTGACATTGAAGTTATTCCACAGTATAAAGTAAACTAATCAATCCACAATCCTATGCTGATAATTGTTAATATGCACACTCGTGACTAACTCTGAGAGGTAATTCCATGGTCTTAGTGAGAAGCCGTGACCAGTGAAGCTGATCCGTGTAGAGTGTGTAGTAGTTGCTCACTGAAGACAGTGGAAAGTGGTCGCGCAATGTCGTAAATTTATTGGAGTTAGATATCCACACTGTTGAACTGAGACTCAGTGGTCTGGAGGTTAGGCGTTTGCGCACGAGACCTAAGGTCTAGGGTTAAATTCCCGCGTTCGTGGTCGCAGATGCACACTTCTGAGGATCCTCATACTAGGATGAAACATTGGTCCAGTGCTTCCAAGTTTCCGATGCTGGTCTCAGTCAGTCAGCTACAACGTAGGACCAGGCACATTTGCTGGCCTAACTTACATTGGTTATTACTTTGAATTAGAGTATATAATGAAATAAATAAATTACTAGTTTATAAAATTCTGATTAAGAGCAGTGGAATATTTAAATTATACTCTGGTAGAAGATGACTCACAAAAACTCAGTAAAATTACAACTCAAACGAAATGGATACATCTTACATAACGTGAAGTTAGTTGGTTGGCACATGTTTATGTTAAAGAATAAAAACTGGTGAAAAATTGGAAGTAATATGTTACTAATAATGAGCACGAATAAAGTATATCGTGGAAATAATCCGATTTTGGCGCGAAATTTATTCTTGCACTACAGCTGATGAGAATTGGTTACGTGTTCATGAATTCTTAATACATCTCAATATTTAATATATGTTTGATATTTAGCACTTTCCTTCTCAGTTAGTCAGTGAATGATATATGTAACAGTATAATTTTCATTGCAGATTTCATTTCAAATACTAATCTGTAGTTTATCGGCTCGTTTCATCCACCAATTTGGGATGCGGCACAATAGCGTGTTCACAAATGATATAAGTTAGTAGTTTTAGACGATTAGAATGAAGCCTCTAATGAAAATTGAACTCTTATATGAAGTGTTGATTACGCTAAATGAACGGGAAAGTAGTCGGAAATGCTAGATATGGCACTTTTATTGGACATTGATAGAGGATAGTTGTCTCCACACAACTGAGAGCATTTCCTCATGAAACCTAGTAATTCATATGTAAGGGTAGGGTATTCATGTTAAAACTTTATCAATTACACGTATACTACATTTTTTATCATAAATCCTTTTATAACCAAACACTGTTTCTTCGGTTGGAAAGTGGTTCAAAGTTATCTGTATAATTTACTTCCACTAGATAATGAATACTTTATCGTTTTAAGGTATCATTACTAAAGTTTGACTGGATAATTTCGATAAAGCTAAGTACTGAGTGAATCGTTATTAATAAAAATAATGTATTTGTAATAACCCAATAAATATAAAAATTAGATTTTCTGACATTTCGTGACTCAGTGTAAGCCACTTCTTTGGAGAATAAATAGCTAAGTCAAAATTAATCTAAGTTTAAATAGTACAGAGGAACAACGTTAGAAAAACTAATTTTTCTACCCATTGGGATATTACAAATATATTATTTCATTTACTTCGTCGTTTTATTCTTGTGTTTATTGTGTCTTCGTAACTTAGCCCCACTATACTATACTGACGGCCTGAGTGGCTAATCAAAATTAGTCTAACCCATGCGCAAATTAAAAACGCTATTACGGATAGGTTGTTTCCAAAACTCATGACCTCCATTATATATTTTTTTGTTTCGAAAGGATTAGATCATGGTTTCCTTGGGGAATGAACTGTTAAGGTCAGGATGTTTGGGTTACGGATTGTAGGATTTGAACTCAGGATTAAGGCTAGGAGTATTAGTTTTATGGAGCTTTTGGATTATGAGTTAGGTTTGAAAAGATAAGGAGCCAAGAATTATGTTTTAAACTGATTACAAAACCAGCCTGAATTATCGATATTAAGCACTATAAGTTCATTAATGATTTAAAAACTCTTAACCCTCTGTATTTCTATTTTTTCTATATTTCCAAGCTCCTATCCGGGACCTGCATTCTGATTGGCTGTTCTCAAGGCTATCCGTAAATTTATTGAAGTTCGTTTGCATGGGATAGACTTGCCACTTATTTTCTTCACCTTATCATGTCTACCTGACAGTAGTAGAGTAGGCATTGTAAAAAAACCTACAGTGGAGCTAATCCGTGTCGGGTAGAAACAGATGTCTACCTCGTTACAATGGAAGATGGTCGCGTAATTTCGTGGATTGGTTGAGGTTAGACATTAACACCATTTGATGCCGGCCCAATGGTCCAGTAAGTTAAGCGTCCACGTGCGAAACTGAAGGCCGTGGGTTCGGATCCCGCGAGCGAGATCGTGGATGCGCACTGGTGAGGAGTCCTACAATAGGACGAAACAGCCGTCCAGTGCTTCCAGGTTTTCAATGGTGGTCTAACATCAATCGGTTCATGATCTCAATTAAAAGTAAATACAATCGTTGTCATTAATTTACATCATTATTATCCCACATGAACCCGTATATATTTAAGTCTGTTGAGCCCATTAATTAACCTATTAAGCAGATAGACAGTGCCATTTTGATATGCATTAAGTCACCTGTATTCTCTATACATATCTCTTCATGCAACCGATGAGCACAAGTAAAAGCTACGCATTTATTTCTTTTACTTGCTTAAATGTTAGTTGCTTAAAGCTCTTGATGAATCACCCGTATATTCTGATATATTTTAGCTTGTTAAATCACATTAATTTCCTCGTTAATTAATCAATTTCCCTTTTCCTATCATCGTTTACTTGCCGATCGTCAGATATGAGCTATGTCTGGAATAAACTGTTCCCACAACTTCATTCCGACTTTTGGAAACCGCACATCATTAAGAATTATAGTAATAACGGTTATCAAGTCGATTAATATATGAAGTATAAGGATAGTAGCGGATATTCGACAACAAATTGTATAGTAACGGAAATTTTTTAAAATGAAGAACCTATTAGGGTAATAATTAGTTTTCACATTTGTTAGCCTATCTTAGAGGATCAATGATCACAGAACTTGTTTTATGTGGGAAACAAATTATACCAGAAATCATAAGTTTTGAGATCAGTCGATTCTATAAGGATAACAGGTGATATTGATTGATGACTTCATACAGTGACGAAAGCTGTAAACTTTCAATTATTACTTTGTAACTATGAGTGACTTAGATAGCTTTAGATTTCATGGCAAAATGAAATTAATGATGTGCTTTCCTCAACTGCCAAATATGCTACAAATTATGTCCAATCATGTCTTTGAAAAAGAACTTTTTAATTCAAGTTAGGAGTTTCTTGAATCTTTATAAAATATGAACACTTTATTAGTATAGTTTGAATTTATATACATGTTCGATAGCTTCCATCACAGAATACCATCGTCTGTAGAATAAAGTGAGAATCAGAGAGCGCTGGATAACTATCTTTACTCATTTCGGGACTGCACATCACTTTGCACACAGAATCGATTCTATGATTTTGAGGTGACTACAAACCTATTAGGCTATTAAGTTCAAAGCCAGTGTCCCGTAGTTCCAACTTCAATTAACTCATGATGTATGATACGATAATCATTTAATTCCATAAGTGACAACCACCTCACTGGTGTGTGTTTTGAGAAAACTAAGAAAAAAATAATCCCAACAATTATTGAAAATTAACTAACTCTATCAACGATAATTCATGATCAACTCGTTTTTGATCTGCATCGATTTCACGTAAATAATTTGTCATATGAGTTCCAGCCAGTTCAGATTGTGCACGTAAATGGTCCATTTGCCGTTCATGATCACGTAGTCTTAACAATGGACTATGCATACAAACAATATCTTGTTCTCTTAAAACTAATCCGCCATGTGAACTACGTTGTCGACTAACTAATAAGGAAAAAGCAGTAAACAGAAAAAAAACATTTTAATAAGCAATCTTATCATAATTAATCAGTAAAAAGGCCTATAGGAAAGTATTTATTGAATACAGTGTAAACTATTCACTATTCTGTAGGTATCAATGTCAAAGCTAGACTTGATAGTTTCAAATAAATTACGCATTGGATAGAAAGTTATTGATAAATATATGTTTTGTTATATTCCAATAAGTAGGAAATCGTATTTTCGATGTTTCGTGACTTAAATTAAGCAACTTCTTCAGAGTCAATAAATAACCGAATTACATTAAGTCATGAAACGTCAAAAATATAAATTTCCTACTCATTGGGACATAACAAAAATTTATTTATTATTCACCATACTCTTAGAAATGTAAGTAGTATGTTCCGTTTTAGTTAATTTATGTCGTATGTCACCATCTCGCCCAATAGTCAGAAAGGGTGGGCGGCCTATGCTTCTCCACTAGGAGTAACAGGCGCAAGTAAGTAATGGTCAGAAAACAACTTAAATAACCTAAGTTACGTGATTGATTCGAGTATATTACTAATGATTTAGACCGGATAAACTAAAGAGATTCTTTGCTCAGATTAAATTAGTATAACTACTAATTACAAAATATTTGAACGAATTTTCACCGTAATACTACAAATATCTCAAAAAACGTCAGTTTGAATGTTGCGCTCAAGCTGTTTATCTTTAGTATTCGATAACTCTCTCTACTTATAATGTTGAATAGATCACGTGACCATAATTTACACTTGATCGACCGAATAGCACAAACCATCATGCGAAGACGATCTAAATTATCTTAACAATAGGGTGGAATAAAATGTCTTTAAAACAGAATAGTCATCTTATGTATAGGTGTTCGATCAACAACACTCATTTTAACCCTCGAACTAGTAAAAGTTCAGTTTATACCAACTCTACGTCAACATTTATATTTGAAATCAAATCAATATTGTCACAACTAGACACATCTGTCTGTTGATTTTTATGACACTTCGTCACGTATGCTTACCTGTAGATGGCTTAATTTTTTTGTTCTATACAGCAACTTAATTAAGGTCTGTCCTGATATTTTATTGAATAGTAAGTATAGATCACCTATTGTTAATCCCACCAATATATTACCTTGTTTATATAAGATGGGTTAACAGATAAATTTCCCGGCTTAGTTTACCTTATAGAAGCTATTTCCTCTACATCTGAGTATTTACGCAGGTCAAATCTCCTAGTAGTATTATAAATTTACTCAAGACTATTCAAAAGCCAGAATACCCAGTTGTACAGACAGTATTTTGTTAATGACTGATAAAACCCCGCAAGAGCCGGGGTAGAAAACAAACAGGGAAATGAGTGGGTGTGTTATTTATGTGAGTGTTAAAAATCCATATATATTTATGAGTGTTAATCGATTGTGGATAAATTATTGATTGCCTATGTTTACAACTAATGTGAGAAGAGATAAAGATTATTGATGTATAGACACGCGCTCAATCAGACTCACACATAATTTTATGTAGTGGATTAAATGTCTAAGATACAGCAAGTAAACAGATAGTAAAATGGTTGAATGGGCTTACTACAACCTACAAAAATTTCTGTGATCTACAAACTTGCAGTGAATAATGAGTCATACCACTGGAATAGTGGTTCCAAAAGTACTTAAGATATAAGACAATTTTGATCACTGTTACAAGTAGGTTCTTTTAATAACAGAATGACAAAGATACCGATTTAGTTTGGGCACTGTTCATGTGATATGAATACATTTGAAAAATTCATGAATGCTAACTAATTTTGGTGTTTTGTTCTCTGAGCTAGATGGTTTGGTCGTGGATGACGTCATCAACACAAAATTCAAGTAGAAGTATTTGTTTGTTCATTTGGCTCACAACTTATTCTGTAGATCTCGATCTTGATTGAATATTGTTGACTTCTTTATTTTGATTATATCTCCTATTGATTTGATTCTTAGTTCTATATCTGTTCATAACTTTTCTGATTGGTTAGTAAATTGGATTGATTTCACTGTGTTTGTTGACTGCTGATTAACCTGAATGCCAAGAATCTGAAAACTCTCCGGTGTTTTTAAAATTCTCTCTTTACGTGATCTCAACATTTTTCCAGTCGAATGTGTATTCAAAGTTGTCCACATGTATTGATATAAGCGAGAATATGCCATGGTGTTTGACCGCTCATTGATGTTCGCGCAGTCGAAGATGAAGTGGACGTCCACTTTGTTCGATGTATTGTTTTTCGCACAGGGAATTCTTTATTTTGTAGATGATGGTCGGTTTTTCTACTTTTGTCATTTCGTCTTTTGATTTGCATAGTATTGATTGAAGTGATTTTGTTGGTTTATGTGCTACACCTATTCCACGAAGCTTCGACAATCTCGTAATTTTTGATATGCCCTTTACATCTGGTAGTATGATTCGTTTGTTGGTTTCTGTGCTTGATTTTGTTTCTGCTGATGCATTTGGTTGGTACTTTTTGATGAAGTTGAGTGGGTAGTCATTCTTTTGAAAGGTAATCTTAAGATATTTCTCTTCATTTTTCCGCACCGCAAGTGTATGTGGCAGTGTGTTCTTCCCCTCCTGGTTTGTGTATATTCGGCCTACCGTAGGATTGAAGGAGTACTTGTCCATTGGATTTTATTCTCCATTAATCTTACTTTGATATTTGTCCTGCTTTGACAAGCTTGTTTAAAGTCCTTGAGTTTTGATTGTCTAACCTTTTGACTGAATTGGTGTCTATTGGTTTGTCTACACTTTTATCTCCAAGTAATTCCTCAGCTTTCCTGATATATTCTTACTTATTCATAATTACTGTAGTGTGTACTTTATTTACTGGGACTATGACAATATCTTCTATAGTTCTGAGTTTATTTAAGACCATTTGTTCTTGTGGAGTCAGTTGAATGTTATCTTTCTTCTGTCGAATTAACTAACTAATTTTCTAGCATTGAGTTTTCAGCGTAGCCTTTAGCTCGTAATTCTCATCATGTATAAACACATAAGTACTTGGAGGTAACTAGGACGAAGCAAATATCCAACCTTTCCTAAATTTCAATGGTCCATTTATTTTCAATACAATAGATATAATTTAACAGTGTTTTTTTCCTTTTGAGATTTTATGTAACATGTCTATGAGTTATAAGTTTGTGTATTTAACTTTAAACCGTATTGTTTGTGTTCAAGCTACTGATACCATCCCAGTTACTGAAATCAAAATGAGTGAAACTTGGTTTGAATCTATTCTTTATGAATATCACTGTTTTGTCTTTTGAGAAGTTGCACATCAGGAAAATAATAAAGATCAATATGTCATTCAAAAGTTTACGATAAACAATTTCATTTTAAGTATATTATCATTTTGATAGAACAATGAAAAGAATGTGTTAAATGATTGTGTTCTTTTCTCTATTTTTTTTTTGTTCTTTCATATACATATTCATTATCATTATACATCTATATCATTAACATATGAAAAGGAATAGAACTACTGAATTATTTCATTTTAAAATTTATCATTGAATTCACTTAAGATAGAAAGGTATTTTCAGTACAATAAACTATTAGTTATAATGTATATACTCAGATACATATAAAAGATTTAACAAAATATTACTTCTCTGTTATACATATTGACAAGTATTAACTTTAGAATAGTAAGTATAGTTATTTGTTAAGATCCTGTCAATTATATCATTTTAGTTAGTAAACAATATTCAATATTCCGCATTTATTATTATTATCATTATTATTATTATTATTATTATTATTATTATTATTATTATTATTGAGTTTCATTGTACGAACTATTTTTATTATTCTCTTAACATTCCAAAACTTATTCTATTTAATTAAAACAAAGAATGTTATTCACTTGGTGTTATTTTACTCGTATCTTTCCATTGTTATTTAGGACTGAAATTGATCAGTCTCATGTTGGCATATGTGCATTCTGTACGGATTGCCTTATGTTACAAGCTTTTTAAGCAAAGATGGATAGTTGCTAGCAGTGGAATCTAAGATGAACGTTTCGTCCAATTTGGGACTCGTCAGCTAGATGTAACTGTATCCTGGAGTGAACATTAACTTTGGGATGCAGGTACATCCAGCTAATGAGTTCCAAATAAGACAAAACGCGCGTCCTGGATTCCACTGCTAGCCACTATCTATCTTCGCTTAAAGAATGTTATCTTTTATAGCGAAACAAAAAAATAGTACAATGTAAATAAATAAACATATTACTTACTATCTGTCATTTTTAATCTCTCTGTAAATGCATATATAGCTTGGTTTAATTCAACTGCTCTTGTATCATTAGGTAATAAAAGACCTCTTAAATCTTCCAGAAAATTATCCATAGCTATTTTATGCTGATATTGAATATCCTGTATAGATTTAAAAAAAGGAAAACATAAATACGAATACGAATCATCAACTTGTTTACAGCTCTATACAAACAATCATTATTGTATATGCAAAGATGAATAGTGACAAGTAATAGGATACAGGATATATATATTTTTTTGTCACGCTTTGAGACTCATCAATTGAATGAACTTGTATTTCAATGTGTTGATGTTCACTACGAAACTTGAACTTTGATACCTTTGACTTTAAACGTTTAGCACGTAATCCATTAAGCTAATGAATCCTGATAATCGCTAGCTTGTACGATGGGGATGAATTTTATGTTTTTCCAAGAAATGTAAATATTGCTAACTCCATGCTTTATCATACGAAAGTGTAAAGTAAGTAAAATTCATATTCAGTCAGTAGTCGAAAAACATAATAATTGGTTAAAACTTTATTATGTTACTAATGTCAGTTGAAGGCTTAGCAACTCCTTAAGACATCTATAAAATTGCTGTATAACCACATAAGAGTCAATCCAGAAGCACTATTACGATTACATACTACTTGTAAGTAGCTTCATTTAATAAACACAAAAGTTGTTGCAAGTGAACTGGTAGATGACTTTTATGGTAAATAAGAAAACATGTTGATCTGAAGAACCAATGAGAAGCCTAGTGAGAAGATCAATCGATGGCAATCAGAAGTGACCTAAAGGACAAGTGCACTTTATTGGCCAAGAAATGGATCAATTTTCTAAGCATTAGAGTGGTATATATATATATATATATATATATGAATGAGTAATCATGCATTTTATTCGGTAGGCCAATACACTTTCTCGCTCAAGTAGTCAGTTGAGGCAGAGGGTGAACTCGCAACACACTGTGTATCTGTACCACATTTCGGACGCCACACATCATATCACACCTGCTCAAGCATGAATATGTATATTTCTTTCTCTTCAATGACAGTTTATTATTTCCCTCGGTTGTTTTTAGAAAGAAAGAATTAACCAGTAAACCTCTCAACTTTTACAAATCTCCACTTTAACATTCTTTATTAGGAGTCATTTTGTTCTGCTTTTTCTATCACTCAAATGCTGAATTCTAAATAAAAGAGAAAATGATCGTATGTTTGTGAAAATAAGATTCATTTATTAAAGTAACCTTGGATATTGATTATTTTTATTGTTAAGCCAGAATAAATTTCGTTTTTGTAACTGGGACCCGTTGAAAACAAAGAGAGAAATGGATACCCATTTCCCCCTTATATCAGAGATTTTAATAGTTCATACTCACGAACTAGCCAAGGGTTGTACTCAGGACCTTCATGTCACTTGGAGAATGTTTACCACTTGCTTAACACTACTCTAGATGAGAATTCAATAATTTACATTTTCAAGTCTAACCAAATGTTTATTTAGCCAGATATAGATAAAAATCAACTGAGATGTTCTCAAAATAACTAAACGATAAAAAGAAGTAAACAAAAGAATAAAACTTACTCCATTTTCTGCCATTTGATTTAATAAACAACTGTAATATGATCTTAGTCGTTCACGTGATCTTTCCACAAGTAAATCCCATGATTCAATACATTTTTCACGAAGTCTAAAAAAATATAACAAGTTAATAAATTGTTTAATGATTATTGAAAAAAATGTATAGAGACATAAATGGAATAATAACTGATTAGTTTATATTACTTAACTTTCAACCATTCGATTATAGGTTCGAAACCGGTTTCATATCCTTTAATTTAACTGACTAATGAACATGATATACTACAATGTACAAATTATGATGCTTTAAAATAAAATTGACAAAATCTATAGTTGGTAAAATTAGAAACAAGTTTGTTTTTTTTTTAATATCAAAATTGTAATCAAACACAAAGTGTTCTCAAGCATGGAGATAGATACATGTTCACTTGTTCAGTTTAGTTGATATAATATACCATAATCATTTTTAAATAATGTTAACTTTTAAAAAAAAAAACAACACTCAAATTTCATTCTTTCGCTTCAATTGAAAAAACAAAACTATGCTTGAATGTTATTTCGTGAATATCCTAAACATTCATTGCTATTGTAGTTTAGAAGTGTGAAAACGTTTGTGCAACATGTACTCTAATTTACGTGAATTGTTTACATTAGTTTTGAATAGATTTGATCTGTAGCAATATATTGTTTGTTTGTTTGTTTGTTTGTTTGTTCTTAAAGCTTACAAGTGTTCTTGTTTACAGATTGAAAAAAGTTTATTTCCAAATGTGTCTATTATATACCTAGATATTATTTAGAATGAAAGAACATATTTCAGCTTAGTTCTACAATTTAATTGGTATTATTTGGCTTGTATCTTCCCATTGAGGTTTGAGACTGTTATTGGCATATGTGCATACTGTGCGTATGCCTCGATATTGCCTTAATTCACAAGCCAAACAATACCAAGTGAATTTAAATTCACCCCATTGCACAAGCAAGTGGCTATCAGGACTCAGAAGCTGAGTGGATAACGCGATGGCGTTTGGAACGAATGGTACTGGGTTCGAGTTCCAGAGTGAACATCAACTCAGATGCAGGTACACCCAGCTGACAAGTACTAAATAGGACGAAACGCGCGTTCTGCGTTCCACTGCTAGCCACTATCCATCACTGCTTACAATTAGTTCTACAATGGATAAAAGTTTTATCATTGAATATTCATTCAACAAAATCACTCAACTAATCTATATGCTGAAATTTAAGTTTGATTAGAGAATTTGACTGAATCTACTTAGGTATTTCCATATCTGAATTGTTAAGATCATAGAAGTTTTTTAATTATCCATGTGATAATGACTGAACTTCCTGTATATAAGGAGTATATCTTATCTTTGTATTTAACATGATTTAAGCTTACCTATTATTATTATTATTATTATTATTATTATTATTATTATTATTTGAATCGTCTTCTCGCTGTATTATCTCTCATATTCCCTTGATTGTTGCGTGATTAGATATGTGTCTGTAAATTTGTAATGCATCTTCACAATATTTAATGTGTTTGATATTTAGCACTTTCCTGCTCAGTTAGTCAGTGAATGATATATGTAACAGTATAATTTTCATTGCAGATTTCATTTCAAATACTAATCTGTAGTTTATCGGCTCGTTTCATCCACCAATTTGGGATGCGACACAATAGCGTGTTCACAAATAATACAAGTTAGTAGTTTTAGACGATTAGAATGAAGCCTCTAATGAAAATTGAACTCTTATATGAAGTGTTGATTACGCTAAATGAACGGGAAAGTAGTCGGAAATGCTAGATATGGCACTTTTATTGGACATTGATATAGGATAGTTGTCTCCACACAACTGAGAGCATTTCCTCATGAAACCTAGTAATTCATATGTAAGGGTAGGGTATTCATGTTAAAACTTTATCAATTACACGTATACTACATTTTTTATCATAAATCCTTTTATAACCAAACACTGTTTCGTCGGCTGGAAAGTGGTTCAAAGTTATCTGTATAATTTACTTCCACTAGATAGTGAATACTTTATTGTTTAAAGGTATCATTACTAAAGTTTGACTGGATAATTTTATTGAACACTGTTAGAGGAAGATTATCCTCACACATTTTCACCTATATATATATATATATATATATATATATATATATATATATATATATATATATATATATATATAATACAGAGTCCTCAATTTCAAGGAAAGTATATTCGTCAAAAAAAATCTGGGATATAATCATGTATTTGATTTCTTTCAATAACCATATTATTTCGTTTGGTCAACCTTCATTTTCAAAATCGGGACTCATCGTCTCTGACATTATCATTCATACAGTTTATTGGTATTTAGAATTAAACTGACGTGAAATTTATCACAGTTACAGATGGTTGCCTTTTTTATCGTTATGTGATATCAACTAAGGAAATTGTGTAAATCTATGAAGCATTGATGGGTTACATTTGATTCAGTTTTCCCATTTTATATACGTATAGATTCTGAATCATTAATGTGATCAAACCAAGAACTTATACTCTAACATTTTACACTATGAATAAGCAACATATTAAAAACTAATAGTTTTAATTGTTTCATAATATTTATTTATGTGAAATGATTTAAGTTGGAAATAAAAATATTCAAGTTTATTTGCTTTATAACACAGTAATTGAATCCCAACACTTTAACTGGTAATTATTAGACGTGAAAATGATAAATGTTAAGTACTAAAAGAATTTGTATTGACAAATATGATCAATTAAGATGAAGTACTTAATCATTATTTTCTTGTTACTTTTACTACTCTTCGAGTTTCCATAAATTTCATTTTTGAATTTCCTTAAGTAAATAGTCATTACTAAATGGTAATTTTTGTTAATGTTTACTAATATGTTTGTATAAACACCTTCTGGAAGGAATTATGTAGCACTCATATACATGAAGTGTTCAATAGATAAGCTATAAAGGTTTTTAATCATGTATATAATTAAACGTACGACCAATTACGTTAGTGGTAACTACTACTTGGAGGTCCTCAGATGCTTAAAGGATCATATGTGATCAAATGTATGGTGTTGATGGGTCCTTGCTACATAACGACAAATGGGCTGCTCATATATTAGTGATTAGCACTCGCCAACCAAATTATATTTAGAGTCCTGAGACTTAGTTTTCTCGTGAAATGAAAAGGGAGGGAGACGTTAAAGTAATGTTAGGAGAATAGATTCTCAAACGAAATGAAATCTGAAGGGCTTGACTTCTAAGAACTGTCAGTCATTTATAGAACAACAGAAATGAAGAAGTAGTAGGTAAATTTTTACGAATGCGGTGTATTGTGAGGAAGATAAGACGTGTTTTTGTAAAATTATGTTCTAATGAAATCAGCGTATTTATTGGACTGCTTACGGCTTCATACAAGTACAAAATAAGGAATAATTATCATCACACTCACATCACTGATCGTTTTACAGCTTCTAAATCTGGATCACTTATCCATAAACAAACAGATGGTATTTTCACTATACCATTATTTGTTTGCACTGTCCAAAAGTGTTGATCATCTTTATTCGATATGACGCGTACTTCTTCACCTTCTTTTAATTCATAATTTGGTCCTGTCAATGAAGTTAACATACGAGCCATAACTGGACTAGCGGATTCTGTATTAGTACTCAGACCATCAATAACACCGCCTAGTCTTAAGTGAACAGGGACAATACGTCGGCTTTCTTCAAGCAAATTGCCTGATCGACCCCATAAATGAATCATATGATTAAGATGTTCCTAATAATAGCAAAAATAATAACAAACATTAATTTTTTTTCTTATATAAATCTAGAATATTATTAAATTCTTTAAAGTTAAAGAAAATCATCGTCTTGAGTGTTTATGCATGTTTTTGGCAAAAATGTATACATTGAATGATAAGTTCAAATGAGATATATGTTACAAGTGAATGAATTTATTCCCTTTCCATTATTGAGATGTAATTAAGAGAACATCCTCAATGCAAGTTTTCCATAGTCTAGCACTCATTAATAATATATATATATATATATATATATATATATATATATATATATATATACATCTTTAGGCATCTTTTTTTAGTGTTGAGGCGATAATTTATAGCCAACCTTTGAGCAACACTACATTGACCTTGAGAAAGTTCACCTACTAACTAGTGCTAAATTGGGGTCACAAACCAGTATGAGGAATTAGAATCATGATTTACAGTTGATGGTTAAAGTTAAGAATCAGATATAGGATTTTTATCATGCACTGACATAAGCTAAAATGACAGAACGCTATTTAGCCAAACGGAAGAATGCATTTCGTGCGATAATCCAATACCTGTTATCCTAAATCTAATTAGTTCTTCCATAAATTACAGTCTCACCGTGTTAATATCATTAAACGTATTTTTCAAGAACTTTGGTTTTGTTTGAATGAGTACACATTCCGTGTATTTTCGATGGTTTGACTTTGCCTGATCTACTGTTTGTTGAACTTATTATTAACTAGGTCCTTTTGATCCTTAAAGATGTAATGGTACTGACCAATCATTTTTGGTGTATCAGACTTTTTTGTCATATATTAAAGCCTCTCTATTGAAGGGAAATGTTTGTTCACCTGACTGATAATTCCGAAATTGTGAATTTGTAGTTATGAATGTTATTATATACCACTTTTGTTTACGGTATCTATTGTTACTGAATACCTTTCGCTGTTGACATGTATTATAACCTGTTAGTTATCTCATGAGGAATTGGTTAACAATCTATTCATTCGACTTGATAGTACATTACTTCAAATTTACTATTTTCAAACTTTCCCCAAAGAAATTAGCTTCCGTTTCTATTGAGACGTTTTATAAATACTGATCTAACTTGTCAATAGTTTTCTTCATAAACCAAAATCAACTAAGGTACCCGCTTACAAGGGAAGAAGGTTGTAAGTGCATATTGTAGAACAGTCAATAGTCAACAGTAATAAGCCAAACCAATTGCCCAGTGTCTTTTGATTCTTGCTAATTGTCTTACTAAATTCAGTTCATGGTGTAAATTATCTTCAAAACACTAGTCATCATCATGTAGTTTAATAAAGTTAAGCAGCAGATAGCAGGAAAATTCAGTTCTAAATAGGATTAAATATGCGTTTTAGATTCCACTGATAATCATTATCCAACTTGACTAAAAACTTTTGATTGATTAGAAATATCAGTTGTTGAGATCATGAGTCAATTGAAGCTAAATCACCACGAAAAACCTGGAAGCACTGGATGGCCGACTCGCCCTATTGTGGGCATCCTCAGCAATGCGCCTCTACGACCCCACCTCGCGGAGTTCGAACCCAGGATCTATTGGTCTCGCGCTCAAGCACTTAACCACTAGACCATTGAGCCAGTATGCAACGGTGTTAATGTCTAACTTCAACTAATCCATAAAATTGAGCGACACATCCACCATTGTCATCAGTGAGTTACTATCTCACAACTGACACGGTTGAACTCCACTGGTCACTGTTTCTCACTAAAACTTCAGGAAATACCTCTTGAAGCCAGTCACTAGTGAGCATATGTTGATTACTATCAGATGGGCATTGTGGAGATTGTAGTAAAGATAATGTTAAGAAAAAGAAAACTTTATCTCGTGATGCGGGGTCATGGATGTGCACCTCTGAGGAGTCCCACAATAGGACGAAGCAGTCGTCCAGTGCTTCCACGTTTTCCATGATGGTCTAGCTTCAATTGACTCATTGTCCCAACTATTGAAATTATTAAAATCTCTACAAAATCTTCGTTCGATATGAATAGAAATATTGAAGCTATTCATACAAGATTTATATGTGCCAATAGAGACTGACTAGTTGGTCTTTAACAACAACAACAACAATGGGAAAGTACAAACATTATCAGTAGTATTATATATTCATAAAAAAATGTTATATTATTTGTAATAATAACAATAATAACTCCAATGCACATTTATCTAAATCATTCATATAATCATCTTATATCATTAGTCTCTTCTCAGAAAAATAGTGTTGTTCCCAACATTCTCTTAAACATTGTAATCTCATACATATTTTAATTATATAACAGCAGGGATTATTATTATTATTATTATTACTCCTACGACTAATTCCTTTAACAAAAGATGCACATTCCATTATGTCTTAACATTCCAATTACAAGTAATGATTCATACTATTTTTTTAAAGAGAAAATATTTCAGTAGAAGTCATGAGCTAAACAAATCAATCTAAATGATAAATTACTACTTTCGAAAAAAAAGAAGAAAAAAAACGGTTTCAAATGTCAAAATTTTGTCGTTAAGCTTATTACAATTTTTGTTGTCAATGTTCCTTTCATTTATCAGTAATTAAAAAAAATATTTTAAAAAAAAAACAAAGGAGCAAACAATAATGCTCCACCATATTAATCATGAAAAAATGACACACACATGTTCAAGTTTTGTCATAATTGCTGGGATACGTTTCTTTCCAAATAATAATAATAATAATAATAATAATAATAATAATAATCCAACTTCAACGTTAGAAAGTGAATTCTTAGCTTTCAATTATTAAGAAATCAAAATTATTTAATAATCTAATCGATACAGTGAAGATTAATGATAAATTGAATCCATGTAAGGAGTTAAGATCACTATCTATATTTCAGTGTTTGTTTTGGAGTAATCGAATAGAATAATTTGGTTTTGTATTGAAGGATACAATTTATAAGTTGGATGTATATACTATGACTTTGTTATCAAGTTATAATCGTTTAAATCAGGATATAATTTATAATCTACCGTGTAAACATTTAATTATTTACTTTAAGGTGTACTGCTTGTGATTATTTAAGGCAATATAGAGATAATCTGTACACGATGTACATATGTCAATAAGAGAAAGTCCTAAAAATCAATGAGAAGATTCAAATAAACAATACAAAATGAAATGACACTTCGCCTCATTGCACAAGCTAGTGGATATCAGGACTCTGTAGCTAAGTGGATGGTACTGGGTTGGAGTCTCGGAGTGGATATCAACTGTGGAATGCATGTACATCCACTTGTGAGTTCAAAATAGAACGAAACGCTCATCCTATATTCGACTGCTAAATTGTTTAATTTAACTGTATCATAAGTTGGTTTATCTAAATTAATATTAAATATTGTTTTTGTTAAAATTAATCTCATAGTATTATATAAACTGTATGAAATATAACTTACTCTCAATTCATTGGCCAAAATTGTACAATTTTTCAAAGTTGCAGGTAATGCTCTTGAATTTCTCGGTTCTGTCATTCGTACACGCGCTTTCAAACTGGCTTCAGCTTCATTAACTGCATGATGAAACTGTAATGAAATATAAAATAAATTGATGATGGTATTAGAAAATTCGCTTTATTAGAATTTGATTAATGAATTTATGTCAGAATTGAGTATCTGTAGTAACTGACAACATTTCTCTCACGACCCTGATATGAAATCAAACTTACTATCTTCACAATTCGTTGTTTTGAAGCTATCATCCAACAGTTCTGAGGATTCTTTAGTTTTGCCAAATCGTAACTCTGTACTACTGAGTAGTTCTCCCGGTAAAAAAATAACATCAATCTTCAACAGTACTGCAGCCCGATGTCACTTTGTTATGAAAATCACATATTCAAAATGATTAAATTAACCTAAACAAATTATGAGTATTGAATTTGACTTATTAGCATAGAGATGTGAATACTATCTACTCTTAGACGGTGGTTGGAGGTAGTCAACACGAAACCCTGCACGCAGGTTTCGTGCTACTTGACACTCGTCAGCAAGGTGTACTTGTAATCTTGAGGGAGCTGGTGCTCCCTTACGGATTCGATCCCAAGTCACCCAGCTCCACAATCAGGGACGTTACCACTGAGCTATCCGGGCCGCGACCGACCTCCTGTAGGACTGAGATGTGATCAAAATTAGTTGATCACTGGGTAGTGACCAATGTCACGTGTGTCAAGTCCTTCTTAGTGCAGATCGAATGCTATCGACCAAGTTGCAATATGGCCATTAATCTAGGTGACTCTACAACTTAGTCGACAGCATTCGATCTACAATGAGAAGGAATTGACACACATGACACTGATCACCACCTAGTGATCAATCAATTGTGACTATCTACTCTTATTGATATCATGAACCGAAGTTGGTCAACCATTGAAACTGTGGAAACACTGGGGTTCAACCATAGCGAATGTGGGGCATTTACCTATCAAAGACAACTGAGAATGGTCGCACAATATCTTCAGTCAGTTGTGTTAAGGAGATCAAAAGTACTCCTCGAAAAAGTTTAGACAGGCCATGAAAACTCTAGGAAACATTTTATTCAATCAGCGTTGAATAGAAGTATCTTAGAAACCTCTAGCAAATGAAGAGTCATATGTTCAATTGGATAATTGCCTATCCTGCTACTATGTTTAGTATGGTCCCAGAATCTTCCAAAAGACCAAGACCATGTGAAATATTATAAATACCCTCTAATTTCTGTACATAGACCAACCTTGGAATAAAATGTTAAGTTTCACACTTCATACCTATTCTCTAGTGTTCAAGTTGTCGTAAAGACTTAACTTGAGGTTGTTAGAAGACCGTAGGAAACTGAATCAAGCACTTGGTTAGGAAACTTATCAGATTAAATTTAGGGATGTAAATTACCGTATACCAGGTCGGTAGTTTAGAGATTAAACATACGCACGCAAGACTAAAGCATCTGGTTTTGATTCCTGGTTCCATAGTCATGGAAGTTCACTGCTGAAAATTTTCATACGAGAACAAAATGGCAATCTAGTATTTGCCAATATTCAATAGATGTTTCTACAGATTTATATGTCTATCATATTTAACTTATATATTATATTTACTGTAACCCTAGTTATATTTCATATAATAATATCACATTTTTTCACAATATCAAAATCATTTAAAAAGTGACATTCTTTTACTTTTTTAAGCTAACAATGCACATATTATTCTATTGTTAACCTTAGATTATTTAAACCTTGGGTCAAATAACTGGCAGAATTTCTGTAATTTATTGATACAAAACAAATAACAACATTTTGCATGATAATAATATCTGTGTAAATTATTAGAATGAATTCCTTGAAGTAATTATCAACCCCTACAGAATAGTAAATAAGTTAAGTTAAACTATTAAAGTTGTAATTTTTATGAAGATAAGAAAATAATCATACTTGAATGACAGTACACCACAAAATGATACCATCTTCATATGTTACTTTAAGTTAAGATTATTTATATGAAATAATAATAACCGTAATTAGAAAGAAGTTTAAATTATTTATTTTGGTTAGCGTTTTTTAGAAAGGTTGCAGACTACATCCTCAAAGTTTCTCCTTTACTCGGGCTTGGGACCTATAGTAATTCTAGGAAATCTATAGGCTATACAGGACTCACTAGTTCACAACACGTAGGACCAGATAAATTATACTCGTATCACTAAAAACTTCCGAAGGACAATGGAAGATGTGAGAACCAGGAGAGGAGCTGATATAGCTTCATATCACTATCTAGTTGTGGCCAATTTAAAACTGAAGCTAAAGAAGAACTGTACAACTGGACAAACAGCACTACAAAGGTTCAATACAACCTTCCTTTGAGATACTGACAAACTCAACCAATTCAAGATAACTCTCAACAATAGGTTTTAAGTTTTACAGGATCTATTCAAAGAAGAAGAAATTACCATCGAGGACAGCTGGAAAGGGACTAAAGTAGCATTAATCTGAACGTGTCAGGAGGTGCTGGGCTGCAGCAAGCATCATCATAAGGAGTGGATCTCTATAGAAACTCTGGACAAGATCAAAGAAAGGAAGAACAAGAAAACAGCAATTAACAACTGCCGAACACGAGCACAGAAAGTCCAATCACAAGCTGAATACACAGAAGCAAACAAGCAAGTGAAGAAGAGCATTAAAGCCGACAAGAAGAAATACGTGGAAGAACTATCAACGACCGCGGAGAAAGCTGCAACAGAAGGAAATACGAAACAGCTTTACGATACAACGGAGAAACTAGCAGGGAAATATAGTAAACCAGAGAGACCGGTCAAAGAAAAAGAACGCAGGTCAATCACAGAAATTCAAGAACAGCGGAACAGATAGGTAGAGTACTTCGAAGAACTCCTGAATAGGCCAGCTCCAATGAATCCTTCGGACATCGAAGTGGCACACACAGATCTTCCTATAGATGTCAATCCACCAACGACGGAAGAAATCGGAATGGCCGGTCATCAGACAAATCAAGAGCGGGAAAGTAACAGGACCCAACAACATACCAGCTGAAGCACTGAAGTCAGACACCGAAGTAACTGTATAGATATTCCATGTTCCATTCAGGAAGATTTATGAGGAAAAACAAGTGCTGATGGACTGGAAAGAAGAATACCTTATCAAGATACCAAAGAAAGGAGATCTAAATAAATGTGAGAACTACAGAAGTGTCATACTACAAACGGTACCAGGAACATTTTCAGTAGTGTTGCTGAATTGGAAAAATGACTCAGTAGACGCCTAGCTACTACATCACGAGGCAAGTGTTAACTTGGAATACTAAAGTGACATGGAAAAAAGGAGAATCAAAGAATACATTGTGTTGGGAATCGGAAGCAGACGTCACAAAAATGAATAGTGACTGGAAAGGATTGTTGAGGACAGAGTTGGTTAAAGAATGCTGGTGGGCGGCTTATGCTTCTCAACGTCAGTTAACAGGCGTAAATATTTAAGTAAGTAATTTTTAAGCAAGCCGTCACCAGTGGAGTTCAACCAGGTCTGTTGTGAGATATCAGCTCACTGAACACAATGGTGTTCGATGGCGCAACTTCGTGGATTGGTTGAAGTTAGACATTAACACCGTTGGATGCTGGCTCAGTGGTCTAATGGTTAAGTGCTTGCGCGCGAAGCCAGTAGGTCCTGGGTTCGAGCCCCGCGTTATGCGGGATCGTGGATGCGCACTGCTGATGAGCCCCATACTAGGACGAAACGGCCGTCCAGTGCTTCCAGGTTTTCAATGGTGGTCTAGCTTCAACTGACTCATGATTTCAACATATGAGTAATTGACTAAACGTTGTGGCACATTTTGTCTGACATAAAATGAGTGAGATTTCTCTACAGTAATCCTCATTACTCATTGTGACTGAGACACTAAGCGCTATTCAGTTACCTGAAGATTTTAAATAAAAAGATTGAAAACTATCAAAACGATTTAGCGGTTTCTATCACATGTTGTTCAATAATCATTGATTGTAATTAACTAATTCTATGGTGTTAATCTAATTATATTCAAAATGACTGGAACATTTTTATGCCATTTACCCATTATACACTACGACCAAATGATTGTGAAATTAATTTTTCATCTAATTAACAGTATTTTGTAATAAATTTTTACGGTTCTTGATTAGTTTTGTATGATAATACTAGTGTAGTCATAGATTAACCCAGTCAATTAATCAAGCAAAAAATTGTTTCAAAAATATCTATCAGCCATATATTATGTAAGAGTTAAGAATTCACTGCCTGTATATGTAAATCTTTCTTGAAGTTAGATTTAAAATCACATGACAGGTATCTGACTATTATTATAAAAATTAACTGATTGCATTATTAGTGATAATCTAGCTAATTATTAAATGTCTCTCTATCAGAGATTAAAATTCAATAATCATACGGAGTTAGAACACTAAACTATGAATCTAAACAAAAAGGTTTACAACTAAAAGCAAACCCATTAGATGATGAGTAAGATCTAAGTAAACATTTAGTCTCCATGAGATTTAAGCTAATGGTCTTTAGAAGGTTATTTAGTTTAAAAAAAAGTGATATTGTTCGCCGAAGTTATTTCAGTTTGCAGTTTTTACTGGAAACAAATTGGAAACAAATAGCTCGACAGCGATTTGGTTTTAATATAATAAGCCTTAATAATGCACGGCTATAATCTATCCAAAGACAAAACCGAAGAACTGTAAGTCTTCTCGAGAGCACGCAACTTTTAGACCACTGGGTTTTCACCTGGTGATTCTTACTTCCATGGTCAGTCACTTTATGAAGCTCGAAATAACTGGGTTTGGCCTTTGATATAACTGTAAGTGAGCACTGCTAAGAAGTTCCACATTTGAATGAATCAGCTACTCTGTGATTTCTGGTTTTTAAATAGTCTTCCACTTAAAATCGGTCGATTATATTAACTACAACGAGTGAGAACTTCCTATAAACCTTATTTGTTAAAAATTTATTTCATTTTTGATCGTCGTCTTTTTTCTGTGATCAAGGTGTTCAAAAATTTTATATAGAACGTTCGGTTACTTGTAAATAGATAAAAGAAGTTAAGAAAATATTTTGTCAAAAATCTTTCTCAAGAGTTACTCAACTAACTGTTTTTAAGAGAAATCAATCACTTTTATTGATTCAGAAAGAGTAATTAGAAATCAATGTTGCTCTCTATGCACAATACATTTTAATTTATATCAGTATATTTTATATTAACAGAGAAAAGATTCAGTAAACAAATGATGATATTCAGAAATAGAAAACACAATAGTCTAGAAAGAACACGTTTTTACAAATGCCATTGTATTAACATGCTTCAAGGATTATTAGTGTGCACTCAAGCAATGGAGAAATTATTTTCAAGATCACAAAGAACATCTACATTTTATAATACCTGGGGTTTTCACCAACCTCACAATGTTTTGCTGACTGTTCCTACATAAGAATTCGAAAGTCATATGAGCTTCATAACCTATTCGAAAGTATATGTTTGACATTAGAAAAGCATAATTTCTAATCCTATGCATTTCCCTGAAGCTATGGTTCTGATTTTAAAGCCATTTTTCATATGTTATTCTACTCACGATTGTTTGTTTACATATGTATGTCAAGTATTACCCATGTGATTTGAGTGGAGCGATAAGAGTGACTGTCTGGGTAAAGACAAAGTAGTCTGTATGATAAGTTTTTTCTAATGTTGTTTTCAGAATAGTACTCGAAGTTATATTTGGAATGCAATGTTATTGAATCGTACACCCTTCACAAACCTACCATATATGAACTAATGTGGTCTTGATGAGCTCATGGTACGTTTCTTACTGGTACTTTACCTGTGATATTTAGTAGGCTCATCTATTCTCCTGTTTTTACTGAGATTCTTTTATTTATCCCTTACTTAGATCACTATGCAATAGAGAAAGATAAATGTACAGGTCTATATATTATGATTCATAATTATAGTATATTGCTAAGTATTAAATAATATCCAGTATTCTTATGATAATTCTCACTAAACTGAATATCACCGATTGACATATATAAGTTATCTCCAACAGTAAGTGAATAGAACCAGATACTCTAAACTCGATTTTACTAAACCACACAAATTGACCAGTTTATGTAATTCATCGAGTCACTGTATTTTGATTAGAACTATTTTAGAAATTACCATCTATAATCTACCAGAATTTAAAAATGACAATCTTAGTATTTCAGACACGAAATCAGAGTTATTGATCAAATATATATTCATTAAGATTATGTGCGGTACAATAACTCCAAGGTCACATATTCTTACCATGACCCGAAGAGCCGGTTGTTGGCACAAAAATATATTGAATCTTTTAAAATGATGAAAGGTTTCAAATAAAAATTAAGAAAAGATGAACTGTGTTTTTTTAATTTCTACTTAGTACTCCGCTCATTTTTTTAAAATATTTTATTAAGACTTTCTTTTAAAATTTTATCGTTGAGGCCAAAATCAAAAAAGAAATAATAGAATTTATGTATTCTTAACTCAGGAATTTTATGAGAATGCTAATTAGATTTGTAAAATAATTAAACCTTAATTATAATTCAAGTACAACGTAGAACCAGAAATTCCTCTCTACTATTTTAAACTAAATAACAACAAACAAAATACATCTTTGTATCGAGTTATTTACACTGTTGTCCAGATCAATTGAACTATGTGACTACTGATATTTGGATTCTATAACATAGATTAATATTTTATAATCAGTTAATGATAATGTCTTGGTTCTTATAGAAAGTCACTCACGGTCAAAAAATAAATATCTGTCTATAGCATTAGGTGATACAAGTTTAAATCTTGAAGAGCACATCATTTCTACCAAAGATACCAACTACATTTTGTTAATGAGTACCAACTAACAATAAACCCAAGTTTAGTTCTTTTCATCAACTATTACCAATTATCAGAAGGGGTTTGTGGAGATCATAGAAATTGCACAGATTAAAATCATGAGTCAAGTGAAGCTAGACCACCATGGAAAACCTAGAAGCACTAGACGGCCGTTTCGTCCTGGTATGGGACTCCACAGCAGTGCTCATCCACGATCCCACATTCCGCGAGATTCGAACCCGTTTCGAGATTGATAGGTTCTGGGTTCGAATCTCGCGGAGTGTGGGATCGTGTATGGGCACTGCTGAGTAGTCCCACAATAAGATGAAACGGCCGTCGAGTAATTCCAGGTTTTCCATGGTGGTCTAGCTTCAATTGACTCATGATTTCAACCTGTGATATTACCAATTATTTAAACTCTAATTATAACATTCATTTTATTCTATTACCTTAGATTTCAATCAATTATATTGTAACCTATATCTTTGAATAAATATTGTTTCTTATTCTAAATTCAAATATAGTTCTAAATAAACCTGAGTTAATCGATAAATAGAAACTGATTTTATTGATAAAACACAACTAACCAGTATATATAAATATGACCTGATATACTAGTTTTAACAATTCATTCAACAAAACAATAGAATATACACCAAGAAATATTAAATTTTATTGTTTGTTTATCTATACTTATGAAATAATATCAAATAATAGATAAACAACATATACTTTATAGTTGACTTAAACCTGTACAATTAAATCGATTGATCAGAATTGTTTGATTATTCTATTATAAATATTCACAATACTAATCATTAATTGATTTATTATTATCAATTAAATTGGAGGTAACTAATGATTGTATACTTTCTGAAGTATGATTAATTGTAGGAGAGAGAGACAGAGAGAGAAAGAGAGAGAGAAAGAGAATGTACAGAATGAGTTACTACTACAATGTCCTAAATTATGTTATCTATCAATATACAAGATAATTATACTCAAAATAAAAATGCGTGATATCATTGATAATATTCTCTATTATTAATCAATTGAATAAAAGTGTCAACAGTTATTATTGTTATTATTATTGAATTATTTAGTGCAAATAATTGGTAATATTAATAAATGACATTATGTATCATATGCTCAAAATTAGTTATTAATCATTTATCTCAGTATTATTTCCAATGAACTTATAAATTTTAACGGTATGTATCAGAAGGGATCTTGTGGAGACTGTAGTAATTTCAACAATTGGTACCATGAGTCAACTGAAGCTACACCATGGAAAACCTAGAAGCACTGGACGGCCGTTTCATCCTGGTATGGGACTCCACAGCATTGCGCATACACGATCCCACACTCCGTGAGATTCGAACCCAGAACCTATCAGTCTCGAAACGGGTTCGAATCTCGCGAGGCCGGATCGTGGATGAGCACTGCTGTGGAGTCCCATACCAGGATGAAACGGCCGTCCAGTGCTTCTAGGTTTTCCATGGTGTAGCTTCAGTTGACTCATGATTTTAATCTGTGAAATTTCTATAATCTCCACAAACCCCTTCTGATAATTGGTAGTAGTTGATGAAAAGAACTAAACTTGGGAACATATATTACGGAAATCATCAAACTGCATCATGAAGCACGGAAAGGAGGAAGACCGAAGAACACAGCATCAGGAATCAGAATCAAACATGAAAAGGATGAATAGCAACTGTAAAGAATTGGGAAGGATTGCTTAGGATGAAGTTGGATGAAGAATGTTGGTGAATGGCTTATGTTGCTTTACTTGAGGTAACTGGCGTAAGTGAGTAAATTTCCATAGGAAACATTTTGAATGAAATTTTTTTCAGGAAATAGAAAATTTGATAGTTAATAGTGAAAATCGTTAACAGGTACATTAAAGTTCATTGTTACTTAAGTAAAATATAATGTATCGATCGATTTATACAAATCGATTTTCGATACTTATGATATAACACTGAGCTGCTTATTCCTGTGTAAAATTAATCATTGAATGTGTAATAAATATCTTAAGCTTAAAGAATAAAAAAAATCGTCTATCAAAATTACTTATTAACATGATATAACTAAGAATTCTTCGTTTTATTATTTTCTTTACAAAAGTAAACATTCTTCTTACAATTTTATGTTTACTTACCTGATGATATTCAGCGGCATTCCTAATGTGTACTTGACTTAATCGGGCCAATTGAGAAACATATGTCCAACAACTTTTCACATTACTAGTTAATTCCTGTTTAATTTATGTGAAGAAAAAAAAATCAACAGAAAATTTAGTCAATGGATTGAATTTGTCAAATTAATTTAAAGGTTGAACTATGATGAGTGTGAAATAATCAGATATAAATGGCATTGAAATATGGTAGATCAATATCGCAAATTGATCGATGTTAGAAATATCAATTACTGGATTGTGATTTATCGGTTTAAAGGTGTCCTGCGTTTGACTCCTGATGAGGATGAATACTAATGGACAGTTCCATACAGAGAAACAGCATTTATCCAGTATCTATTGGATTTAGATAGTTGTGGAGCTAAAATCAGTCCGTAATGTAAATTTTCAAACTCAACAGTCTTCATAAATCTTTCATGATAACTCCAACAGATTATAGTAAAGAATATCTCCATGATTTCATCCTTTGACTTTTAATCCGCGTATGTCATTGATCTAGTTCAAGAATAAATTCACATTCCACATACCAATTCAGTTAGTAAGTCGCATACAGCTTACGGCCTGCCATGTATATATACAGTTGTCTAACTAGCCATACTTAAAGCACAAAAACTAACTAGCTTAAAATCGGAGAAACTGTAATTATATGAATGATTGTGAAGAATTAAACCTACGAAATGTAGATCGGAAAGAAAAAAATTACGAAAACTCAAGACCTAGAAGACAATAGAGACTGCGTGCATCAATATCATTCAAACAGATCAGTCAACCATAGATGATAATTATCTCACTGATAACGAACAGAAACTTTGTACTTTTCTTTATGGGTCAAATAAATACTCACTGATTTCATGAACTAATGCTGAACCAGCGACTACCTCCAACGATCAGAATAGTGTACATGATATAGAGTTATCTAGACTAATGGTTATATTACAACTTGGTCGATAGAATTCAGCCACCATTAAAGGATTAGACGAAGATAATACTGATCAGTGCTAAACCAATAAGCTGATACCATTTATCGGTTCGAGTATCCAGAGCCTTCTTACAAACTATATGTATTCTAGCCAGTGTTGGACAGTACATGGGTTTGAGTAACATATAACTCAATAACCCGACTCCGTGAACGTTTTCAGCAAACAATTACATATATATAATTATTTTGACCAAAAAATGCGCTTGACTAGCTTCTAAACTACTCACTCACTGATTACATCATACACGAGTAATACTTTCAAGACTTATATTATCAAATACTTTCAGCCTATGCATATCATCCAACTTAAAGGCAATGTTTCACATCTATAAACCAATCCCGAGAGAACATATGGATAGTATACTTTCCCTTTAATAGACGAACAAACATCTCTCCTGTATAATCGACTCAGATGATCTTAAACAACAGTGTCTTTGCTATCAGTTAATGATTTTATATGAAATATCCTTTGGTTACAACGAAAATATGAGACAGTTATGATTAACTGAATACTAAGCGTCCACTATTAAAATTAACGATAGTTGTCGTAATACAATGTTACTTCCGCCATTAAAACCAGTTCTACTGTTTCATGATATAAGAGAATCTTGATTTGTATTACAATATGAACCTTGTGTATTTTCCCTCTAAAATAGGAAGTGTCTGGTAAAACGTGATTTAGATTAACAAAATGTCTAACCAATTATTTACACTTTGTTTTGTTATTCAGTATAGATACGCATATTATGATGCACTTTAAAAACGTATTTCTAGGAGTAACATTTTTTATTGTTTATGTCTGTAATTAATTGTAAAGAAAATGTAAGTAATTTACACTTCCCCCCTAAATTAAAATGAATAGCAGTGAGTGTTTTGCTGCTCATTTTTCTCATATACCTCATTGGTTTCATTGCGGGTAAATCCCTTAATAGAGTGAAACATGTGTTTTGGATTCCGCTACAAGTTACTATCCAATTTTTTATGAATGCGGATGTATTTCAATATCGAAGCTCAGTATGAACATATACAATGAAGCAGTTGATAAGCTGAAGTTTTTGGTGTAGTTTTGTTCTCTGAGCTGGATGGTTTGGTCGTGGAGCTTTCATCGTTCTTCTGAACGACATCATCAGCACAAACTTCAAATAGAAGTCTATTTTTTTTAAAGTTTGTGCTGATGATGTCGTTCAGAAGAACGATGAAAGCTCCACAACCAAACCATCCAGCTCAGAGAACAAAACTCCACCAAAATCATCCACCTGAGCTACAAATCTTCTCCACCATCTCATAAGTTGAAGTCTTTAGCATTAACAGTAGTAAAATAAAGATTTCTCATATATAATGAATTAATAAAAGCGAGTATTACAGAAATAATTAACTAAGATTAGCTTATTGTTCTACAAACTAAAGTTCAATGTTCAACATAGAAAAAAGTTTTACAATAAGGAATTAATGGTAGATTCTATTCCGTAAATTTAAAAATTATTTAATAATTTTTTCAAAGTAAATAAATGAAGTTCATTAATTCAACTGTGTACTATCAAATGTAAATAGAATTTTAATTTAGTTTAATGGATTCAGTATTGCATAGATACACATGAGAATGTCAATTAATGAAGTGAAACATTTTGAACAAATGAATTTACAACATGATTTTATTAAAAATTTGCAACCATTTAAATGTTCAGTATAAAAAGTTTTTAAAGATCATTTAACCATGTAGTTTATATTGTGGGATAACTAGTGAAGATCAAGAATCACTGGATAAAAATTTTGTCCTAATATTGGCCTACTTAACAGTGTACATCTATAACCCTACCAGCAAAGGTTAAGTTTAGAACTTTCAGTTCTCTTAAGAAGCCTTTCGATTTTAGGTTATCAAGTTGGTAACCAACTGTTTACATTTTAAACTTTAAATAATCTCCAATATTCCCCAGACATCATTCAATGTCATTGGTGTTTAACTACCTCATATCCGACGTGGCTGAACTCCATTGGTTACAACTTCTCATTTGAACTCTGAGAATCATCTCTTAAAATTAGTCATCAGTGAGTACATAATTTAAATTTCAATCTCAACCTTGAACAAACTATTTCAATATCGACATTTGGATTATGTCATCAAATCTCTTACTTCTAAAGTGTCATTCAAAAACCAAGTACACAAATTTGTACTTGATAACTAAATTTAAATTATTGATTGAAATGATAACGATGTCAATTATAGTTTGTCTTTTTATTCTTACATAATTTATCAAATTAAGTTCAAGTGTTAAACTTATTCATTATTAGTACATAAACGTTATTCTGACAAGTACACAATTATATCATTATACTAGTTATTAATATCATAATAAATAACTTATGATTAATTTTTCATGAACCTTTTCTACTAGAAATATAGTCAACATTATAATGCTGACATTATTTTCGAAAATCATCTAAAGCTATGTGAATTGCCAGTTGAAGAGGAAATTAGGAAAAGATGATGGAAATGGATAAGACATACATCACGAGGTAATCCCTAACTTAGAATCCTGAAGGGAAGTGGAAAAGTGAAAGGCCAAAGAACACATTAAGTCGGGAAATAAAAGCAGATATGAAAAGGATGAGTAACAACTGGAGAGAATTGGAGAGGATTGCCTAGGACAGGTTTGGATGAAGAATACTGGTGAGCGGCCTATGCTCCTTCATGAGGAGTAACAGGCGTAAGTAAGTAAAACTTGCCAAAAACTACTTTTATTATAGTAATAATTTCATTGTCATGTTAACTGAAATCTTTACTTTAAAATTGATTTTGTTTTCTCCATTTAAAGGGAAAAAAGGGGGGAAGGGGAAAAAAGGGGGGAGGAAACTAACCTTTTTTACATGAACTTCATCTTTTAATTCTTTAGGAGCACTTAATTGTACAGAGGTTTCAGTGACATTTTCTGTTAGAACCTAAATAAAAATTATTGATTAAATGATGATATTTATTTATAACTTACTGTAAATGAATTCTCCAATTGTGATATTGTCTCTAAATAACGTAATGCTGATGTATTATTTTTCACATCATCCTTGAAATATTAAAAAAAAAAAAGAAATATAAATGAAAACTTTTTTATTATCAAGAGATATGAACAAAATATATGGCTCAATGATTAACTGAATTTCAACAACTATTTTGTTTTTAACAGAGATGGATGGTGACTAGCAGTAGAATCCAGGATACATGTTATGTCCTATTTGAGACTCGTCAGATGGATGTACTTGCATCCTAGAGTTGATTTTTACTCCATGATTTGAGTCAAGTACTGTTCGCTTTAAATGCCATCAAGTTATTCACTTAGCTACTGAGTTCAGATAGCCACTAGCTTATGCAATAGATATATCTTATTAGTTATGATAATGACCAATAGTATGATTAGTATTTTTTTCCAGGAAGGTTATTTTCTATGAGTGGCGCTCCTTTAGTTGAAGAACATATGAAACCTTGAAAAACTGTCAGTCAATATCACAGTCAGAATCTTAAGTACAAACAGTTCTACTGCATGGAGCTGAAACTTAGAGAACTATCACAACCCTCATAAAAATGATACAATTATTTATAAACCATTGTCTGTGCAAAATACTTAATGTGTTTTGACCGGATATCATCAACAACAAGTTAATATGGGAGAGAAAAAGTCAACTTTCAGCTAAAGAGAAAATTAGGAAAAGATGTTGAAAGTGAATGGAACATATATTACGGAAATCATCAAACTGCATCACGAAGCGCGCACTAACATGGAATCGTGAAGGAAAACGGAAAAGCGGAAGACAAAAAAACACACTGCATCGAGAATCGGAATCAGACATGACAAGGATGAATAGCAGCTGTGAAGAATTGGAAAGGATTGTTGAGGATGGAGTTGGATGGAGAATGTTGGTGAATGGCTTATGCTGCTGTACGAGGAGTAACAGGCGTAAGTAAGTAATAGTAGAGTTCAGAATGTTTGTTTCGTTTTATTTGATACTGAACTAAACTTGATGGACATTAAGATTCAGGTGCTAGTCGTCATTTGAAAAAAGATTAATCTTGTAATCACGGGTAATATACTGATGTATCTGTTTATAAAGCTTACATGCGAATGAGAAACTCATTGAATTCATTACTCAATCTCAACAGTGGACAAGCATAAATCATTGTAAACAAAAACATATTTTAATTTTTTGTGACAATCTGAGGTATGTAAACTTCATTTCACAGTAAACTCAGTATTTGTAATATTGGTTAATTTGCCTAATCACTATTATCTTCGTAAAAACATGTTTTAATTATCTTAAACTTTACAAAGAATATTATAAATATCAGGAAAAAACAGTGTAGTGCTTACACGAATCTCAGCTGCTGCGTCAGGTAAATGTGATTTTTGTGTACTCTAAAAAAGTAATAATCAATTGAATGAATAAATTGGTGAATGCGGACAATGACAGAAACAAAACTACATTTGAAAACAATTTACATTACATAAGAATTTTAGTTAGACAACCGTTGTAAAAGCATATAGCATTGAACATCTATATCTTTCTAGTAAATGGCTTCTTATCAATGTAAACATTATACGACCTCACAAGGAATAGAATCTTGGACATTGAAATCATTGAGTTGACACTCAGTGATTAGTAAGGTTCTTATAATAGGACAATTTATCTGTCCAGTTATCTTTATATTTTCCAATGTTTATATACAGTTAGTATTATTCCTTAATCTGTTAATCTTTCATTAACATGAATAATCTTTATAAATGTTACATTTTATTAACTTACAGATTGTTGAATATCTTTTTCTAGTTGTATAATTTTTTGTAATAATTCAGCTTGTCTAACACGTTCACTGTCAAGTGCCAAATGATTTACACCTATGCATACACCACGAGCTTGACGCTAAGAAGAAAAAGGAGATCAACAAAGAATGAATAAGAAACAAAACAAAATAAGTGGTGTATATATGTGTGTGTGTTGCGTGTTTAAGAATATTATTTTCATATATTTAAAATAAATTATAATATTTTATTATTTTTGAGTAGTGATTCATGATGGCATGTAAGACATGAGTTTCATCCAATTTGGGACTTATCAACCGGGGATAACTGTCCATTTCAGTGTTGATGTTTACATTGAGACTTGAACCCATTATCTTTAGATTCAAACAAAAATACAAGTCTGTACAAATACGATTATGATATGTTTTTATGTATATATATACCTTCAGTTGAGCCACAGCAATCAAAACCTTTGACTCGATCTGAGAAACTTTTATAGAGTAAGTTATCTCTTTTTGTCTTAATTGTTCCTCGATTTATAAAGTAGATGAATGTAGTCAAAATGAAGTAAGATGTACTTTAATAGACCAATTACATACTAATTTTAAACAATCACAAATTATGGATTATTTTCTAGAAATAATTTTGTTACTCATTAATGATGTAAATTGATAATACGCAATCTAGTTTATAAGTATATCGAGTATTTTTTTATCATGTAACTATTACAATCAATTCATTAACACCATTTGCCACATTCACTTGGTATTTTTTGCTTGTATCTTCCCATTGTTGTTTATGACCGCAATTGATCAGTCTCTTGTTGGCATATATTCATCCTCTGCGGATTGCCACGATATTGCAATAAGTCACAAGATTTATAAGTAAATGAGTCCCGAATAGGACGAATTTCACTGCTAGCCACTATCCACCTTTGCTTATAAATCATTTGCCGTAGTTTAAATAGAAGAATAATTTCAATAGTACTGTTTATTAACATTTGTGTTACTCCAAGAACAATAAAAAAATATCATAGTAGTTTATTACTACATTTCGGTTGTTTAAATGAATTATTTTTTATTCCGAAAATGTGACATTATATTTAAACTTAGATTAAACATAATTAAGAGAGTATTCTATACTCTCGTGGCGGGGGTGTTGTTTACGAAAATGAGAGAAGGAAAAGCAAATGTCCGACGCTTTAACCGGATTCCAAACAAAATCAATGGTGAACATGGGCTCCAGTATCCTGCGGGAACAAGTGGCGTATGAACCAATTTTCGGTCACCGGCTACCATGGGACTGCATCTCCTCACGATGCTCCACTACCTTGTGGATCAGACCTTCAGATCAAAGGCTCGGGGTGTGCCCCCCCCAAGAAAACCACCCGCTTCGGTTTGGGCACCAAGGCAGTATCACAGCCCTCACACATATCGAATGAGATGTGTGTGGAGCCTATGTGTTAAGATAATAATAATAATTCTATACATTGAATTCATTACAAATACATGATCCTTGATAAGGTATTTGTATATTTATATAATTACTATTTCAGTTGTATATCTACATTACAGTGAGCATATCTTATTATTTAAGTTCTAAAAACTGAATACATGAAATCAAGTTGTATTTTTCTATAAAATTTCAACTTATGTTACTACCATTAAATTTGTATATTAACTTTAACTAATCGCTGCATTGTTTTATTGTTACTACAGTTATACAAAACACAATTGGTTAAACTTGATAGTTTCAAATAAATTGGGCATTGGTTAGAGAGTTTAATAATAAATATATTCTTTTTTGTGATATCCCAATAAGCAGAATATTATAATTCTCACGTTTTGTCACTTAATGTAAGCCCCTTCTTCAGAGTGGAGAGGAAGAAGAAGACGAAGAAGTGAGTTACATGAACTGACGAAATGTTAGAAATACAACTTTTCTACTTACATTGAGATATCACAAAAAATAAACTTGTTATTAACGATTGGTTAATGATTGGTAATTTAGATATAACATTACAAAAAAAACAAATAAGGTTAACGTTCAGGCTTACCTCGAATTCAGTCAGTCGAGCTTGAAGACTTTCAGTAGCTACATGAATTTGGATAAATGAAAAAACATGAAAATACAATTCATTGAATAAAAACAATCTTCAAAAAATGTTTTCACCATTGCATAAAAAATTATTTAGTGATTTCTTTGAGATTTCTCATTTTATCAAGAAAGAGTTGTGGTATAAATTAATAATGTTAATCAATAGAATGAGATTCACAATGTAAACAAAGATGGATAGTGACTAGCAGTGGAATTCAAGACGTGCGTTTCGTCCTATTTGGGACTCATCACAGCTGGTTATGTATACTCTGGATGAGGTTTTTTCTTCTTTTTTTTCAGTTAACATAACTGTCATAAATTAATAATAACAAATGATTTGAAAACTCATTAAACAACCAAAAATCTAATGTAAAACAGTTTCTTTTGTTGTTATGAGTTTCCTAGTTGTTTCAAGTCTATATATACATATATTTACTCCTCGACTTAAATTAATAGTTTCCTTTCATTTATCTGCCTATGTTTCTTCTATGCAATAACATTGATCAATGCATATGTAAACAAATATACATATCCACCATTCATTATCTAAGTGATAAAATTCCATTGTTTAATTTGTGATAATAATTACTGTGGGAATAAAAATGATTTTGTAAATGATAAATTTCCTAAAGATCAATTAATTAGTTTTTATTCAACATGTTGAGTAGTTTTTCTTCGAGACCTACTGCCTCACAGTGTTAAAACGGTTATCAATCAATTTCATCGATACAAATATTAATGTGTAACTGATAAGTCCCGATAGGTAGTAAATCCAGGACTATATATATTCATACTATTTGTGTATTTCAACGAGTTTCACACATTAAAATACCTCGTCAACAAGCATCTATCTTACCAGTGAACGAATTGACACAGAATTAATGATTGAACAAAAAAGTTCATTATTTTGCTACGACGGGACCATAATTTATGGACGAACCAATCAGATATAAGATATTGAGCAATAAATTATAGCGTGAAATTCATTCATCCATTTGGCTAAATAGAGTTTTGGCATTATAGCTGATGTCAGTTCGTGACGAAAAACCTAAATCTAATTTTTAACCTTAACCATCAACCGTAAATAATAATTCTAACTGGTTTATAGCTCTCATTTTGTCCGAATTAGTAGGTATCCGTTCTCAAGTTGACTTTAGCGTCGCTCAAATGTCGTCCATATATTATAGTCTCACCTTTGCTACTTACACATTTAAAAAGTCTTTAACGTCTAGTTTATATTTCTTTGATTTCAGAAATGTTTATTTATTTAATGCTTTATGCAAAATCATTATTCACCGATAATAAAAATACTACTGATAATAATAATAAATAATAGTAGTAATACCAGTAGTAAAAGACGAATAACTGAAAGAAACTCATCACAAATCACGTGAACATTGTTTTTCTGATATGAGAAAACTTTATTATATGATCAATAGTTTGATATTTGTCTTAAAATATAAATAATGATTCTAATATTTTGTATGAATAAAATTTACTACATAATCCTGAGTTGATTCACAGTACGTGTGATCTCAAACTCAAATAAGAACTAAGTGTTTACTCATAGATTTATTTTAAATGACTAATGATGATATGGGTTATGGTTCAATGTTTTAATGTATTCAGTAAAAGATACACTTTTAATGAATTAATGATTGATTCAATGAATAACATTGTACCTAGGGAAATTTTACCTATAACCATTATATTGTAATCTATCAAGTTAATCATATATTCATGCAAAAGTAATTCTATACAAGATTATGTATGAACTGTTCATAATAAACCAACTATTCTATATTCTTATAATTTAAACAAACAGTTATTAGTTCTATTATGGTCCCTTTTCTCTGAACATTCAATAATTTAGATTATCTCAAATTTTCGATTTAAAGTTTTACAAAAAAAAACAACAACAATCTATTTAATACATTGAAAACTAATTCATGTTCAACATTGAAATATGACTTCATTTAAAAAAACAGTAAACTAATTCTCTCAACTTACCCATTTATTTCCAAGTATATTATTAATTAACTATTGAATATTGAACAGAGGAATGATTCAAACGACAAAGAAAAATTTTTAAAAAAAAAACTGGAGCGTAATTCTAACTAGATTGATTGATTGATTGATTGTAGCGTATATGAATATTATTGTCGAAGTTGATGTATAATATCAACGTAACTAACAGTAATCCCAAGATAAGAATTAATGATAATGTTGTATTAATAAATATGTATAATAATTGAATAAAAGAAAGAGATAAGAAACAAATAAACACACAAAAAAATTAAAAACTAGATGCAAATAAATATTTTTCTAATTTATATATAAATAATATTACAATGTTGACTGTTAGATATTGTCATTTCAATAAGATTAAATTGTAAATAGTTGATATTTATCATAGTCTTTCTTATTGTTTCCTTCCTTTGTTAACCAATATTGAATGAATGAAATTGGTTTTCTTCTTAAAGAAGAAATAAAATTAAAAAAAACACGAAATAATGAATGATACAAATATGTAAACGAAAAAAGAAATCAAAGGAAGAAAGAACAAATGGTTAATATGTAACAGGAACTTTTAAAAATCTTTACTTGGAAAAAGAAATCACGAATATTTCTAGTAGAAAGATATCTACTAGAATTCAATGTTGTATATGTAGTTAATATTCCGACAGTAGACAATTAGACAATGGAAGGCGGTCACATATACACACAGGTAATGATAGAATAGAAAAGATGTAATTATGAATTAATAGATGAATTGGATGAAAATTGCAGAGATTGTCAACTTGATAAAGAATAATAATGATAATATTATTATTATATTTCCGAACTGGATCGTATCGAAAATTGGAATGATATTTATGAAAAACGATAATAATAGTAATAACAATTATTATAATAATAATAATATTCACTTCTCCTTCTTAGTTAATCTCTGCTAACCGCCATTTGAATGTATTTGCTACACAATGAGTAAACACCATCAAAGTTCTGATTTAAATTGTATATTATTATGCCTTTTTATAAAAAAAAAATCAGTCTAATTGTATATTGAATAGTTGGATTGTGCTATTTAATTTAGTGATCCATTGAAGGAATGTGTCTGTGCATAAAAATCTACAAATCGCATCAATACAAAGCTTCTGTTTGTATTGTCGATTGAAAGAGTGAGTGAGTGAGTGAGAGAGAGAGAGAGAGCGCGAGAGTACACACGTGTATGTTTATGTACTCTCACCAAAATATATTAATTCACATAAACATAGATACATACATACTTTCATTTATTTTACCACTCACACAATACCCGTCAAATAAGAAAAAATAGCTTAGTCTTATAAAGTATAGGGTAAATGTACATTAGACTTAACTAAAATGAGTGCATAGTCCACATTTGAAATTATTTGCGTAGGCGATCTATACAAATAGAATATAAAAAGTTGAACTATAATAATTCGTCTTCTCTATCTCTTAATTCTCATATTATTCACTTCACATTTTTTTGTCAGTTTGTTATGGTATTTCTATTCATCATATAAATAATTTATAATATGATTAACTGATATAAATACTGTCTCAAATCGATCCAGTTGCTATAGTGTATATATCTATATATATGAGAATTATACTGGATATTGAATGACGCAAACACTATGATAGGAAGGTGTACACAACACAAACAAATTACATCAAATAAACTTAAAATTTGATACTCATTAAATAAGTATAAGATTCGTGAATTAGATTGTAGAGAGCACGAAATAGAGAGACAGAGAGAGACAGAGAAACAGAATTGTGCACAAAGCCTATGAACACAAATTCACACTAAATAGTATATATATGTACACTTGCATACATACATAAATGCATAAAATAAGGAAAGACAATATGTTTATTGAAATAAAAGAAATACATATCATTCACATATTTTATACAATATATATATATATATACATATATAATGCAAACATCTCAATGAAACTGGTGTATATGAACATCTGTGCCAAATCGATTCACCTTATCCTATCATTTATATCCGATCATATTTACTCTAAAATAATGTTAAAAATTACTATTACATTATATATAAGATTAGAATAATAGAAAAGTCTTTTGAGTTCGAGTCCCAGAGTGAATATCAACACTAAGATGCAGGTATATCCATTTTACTAGTCCTAAATAGGACGAAACTTGCGTCCTGGATTTCAATGCTAGCCACTATCCATCTTTGTTTATAATGTTTGTGAATTAAGGTAATATCGATGCAATACGCACAGTATGCGCATATTTCAATAAGTGACTGATCAATCGCAGTCCTAATCATCAATGGGAGGATTCAAATAAAACAATATCAAGTGACCTAAGTTTATGTAGGTTTTTTTTCTATCAAACATTGACCGATGTACGTGAAATTTTGATATTGAAAAAGCAGTAGTAAATTGTTAAAAACCATAAATATGTATGTTTAGTCAGTTTTCCAATAATGATAAATGTGCTCAGTTAAGATAAAAAGATAAATCAATTGTGGGTGCGCACTTCTGAGGAGTCTCACAATAGGACGAACCGGCTGTCCAGTGCTTCCAAGTTTTCTATGATGGTCTAGCTTCAATGATCTCAACTACTAAAATAAAATAAAACTTACTACTGTACTCATTACAATTATTCTACAACTTTTTTTTCAGAACTAAACCTATAAAATAAATAAATAAGTATAACATGAACTGTTCAGTTAATACATAAATCGATTTACTAAATTAGAGGAAATTATTTGTGAATATCGTTCGAACTTGCCAACATCTAACAAACATGTGAGAAGAAAACAACTAGATAGATGAAACTTTGAATTCCTGAAGACTTTGAGAAATATTTGAATAATGGAAAAAATAGATAAGATTTTAGTGAACGAGAACACAAGTGGGGACAGTCGAATGTAAATGTACAAAAAATTACAGAATCTCTTAGTAAAATCTGTGAATCATACAGTAAATTCTTCACTTGCAAAAAATTCATCAACTGTCTTTTGTAAATATGAGTCAATCGTCTCAGATTTCATTGTTCTTTCGTTCCCACACCAATCATTATTTGTTCTCGTTTCCTTTTCGTCTATCTTCTTAACCTTCTGCCTTCAGACATTTCACTTTCGATTGATGATACATACTACTTATATCTATAGACATCAGTAGCACACACCACAAGATAAGTTTCCTTACATACAAATAAGAGTTTGATTAAAACATTGAGATTGGTGTGTATCCAAAATTTGTAAAATACAGTTTTGATAATATTATTTCGGAATATTTATCGAATATTTATCGAATATGCTGTATAAAATTTCCAGTAAAAGTATATTTTGGGAACGAGCTTAAAACGACCACGATGAATTTCCAACCAATCAAAAAACAGTTTTTATAAATGGATGATTTATCAAAAAGGAATCAATAATGTTGCAAGGTGTGGACTGATTTCTGTGTAGTTAATAAATCTACTAATATCTTCGACAGGTTTCTCAGTCAGTAAATTGAAAAAAGAACTAAACAGAAACTCTCCTTTACGGATATAAAACATCCAACCTTTCTAATATTTATAAGGACCTAAATCAATCTTGAAGTATCCTTATATTGTTCCTAACAAAAGTTAAGTATTTAGACTAAAGAGTAAGTGTTTAGGGTTGAAGTATTAATCACGAATTGACATCGACTATGATGTAAAAATACTCTATGGATGACTGGATTTCGTTCGGAAACACACGAGGCACTATCTGTTTGGTTCGTTCATAAAATATGGTTTCACCAGGCTAAATGTTTTTCAGAATTAAGAATTTAGGTTACAGATTTAGGAACAGAGACAATTAACCAATTATATACAATCTAGGGAGACAGGGTTAGGTGTTTCATACGTTGGACACTATCATTTCTACTATGTAATGACAAAATGTAAATTTCTACTATTATTTTAAACGTTTTGAACAGTATGCGAAGGTATACTGCTCGTTGTATATGACATTTGAACTTCGTGCAAAAAGCTAATAATTGAGCTCTTGATTCTGATCGTTTTGTCCTTAAAGTACACTTTTAGCAGACCTTGTTCTATCAGACTTAGTTCAATAAAAATCACTAGTAAATAGTTCTCACATATTTATAACAATCATGAAAAATAAAACCTCAATGTTCCAAAACATTTTTGTTGTGACCTGCAGAAACTGATAAATATTCCTGACAGAAAGGTTTTCATTTTACAGCATATATACCCCAATTTAAATAACTCAAGTTTACTTCTACCTGAGGTTTGTACTGATGATATCGTTCAGAAGAACAATGAAAGCTCCATGACCAAATCATCCAACTTAGAGAACAAAACTCCACCTGATTTACACCATCTCAAAAGACTAGTAAATTACGATATTAGTTACTATTTTAAGATCAATCTATGTATACATAAATTTAATCTATTTAAACGGTAAAATAATACAAAAAAGAGATCAATGATAATAAAAGTGATCATCAGTAAATATAAATAAACCAAGATAACATTTGTTTAAGGTTACTGATGAATAACTACTGTACGCAGCTGAAACTTGGAGAACTACGACAACAACCATCAAGAATGTACAAGTACTTATAAATAGTTGTCTACATAAGATACTCAACATCCATCAGCCGGACACAATCAGCAACAGCTTTCTGTGGGAAAGAACAAACCAGATTCCAGTTGAAAAGGAAATTAGAAAAAGATGATGGAAATGAATAAGACACGCATTACGCAAATCATCAAACTGTATCCCGAGGCAAGCTCTAAGTTGGAATCTTGATGAGAAGTGGAAAAGACGAAGGCCGAAGAACACATTACGTCGGTAAATAGAAGCAGATATTAAAAGGATGAATAACAACTGGAAAGAGCTAGAAAGGATTGTCCGGGACAGGGTTGGATGGAGAATGCCGGTGAGCGGCCTGTGCTCCTCGACGAGGAGTAACAGGCTTAAGTAAGTAAGTAAGTAAACTGATG